TGTCCAAACTTCAAAGTGTTTAAACAACACCGTCACACTTCAATGCTTTGTATTTGTGGTGATGGATATTTTGTAATTAATTATTTCATGTTGCAAGAAAAGAAAAGTGAATAACACGACCAGATATCACTTATGCAGTGCATAAGTTGAGTCAGTTTATTCAATTTCCTACGGATACACACATGCAAGCTGCTCTCAGAGTGTTGAAACTGACTTATGTTTAAATGCATTTGCTGATGCGGATTGGGGTACTTGTCTTGACACAAGACGCTCAGTCTCTGGGTATTGTGTATATCTTGGTACTTCATTGATATGTTGGAAGTCCAAGAAGCAACAGGTGGTTAGTCGAAGTAGTACTGAAGCTGAATATAGAAGCTTGGCTGATGTTACAAGGGAGATTTTGTGGTTATATCAACTACTTGTAGATTTTCGAGTCAAAGTTACAAGTACTACCAAGCTATTCTGTGATAACAAGTCAGCTATCTACATTGCAACGAATCCTGTGTTTCACGAGCGCACGAAACACATAGAGATAGACTGACATACTATTAGAGACCAAATCAAGTTGGGAACGATAAGAGCTCTTCATGTTTCAACAGATAACCAGCTAGCAGATATTCTCACTAAACTGCTGCATCCAGGTCCATTTAACTCTTTACTCAGTCGCATGTCTATGTCAAGCCTTTATTCTCCTTCACCATATTCGGATTCAAAGGCTTGCGGGGGTGTATCATGAGTATTTTCACTCTCCTCCATGGAACAATATGCCATGGAAGAATTGAAATCTTAGATCAAAACACTATGGATGGATGGTATGAACTAGGCTTTCGCCCATTGCGGAAAATTCCCCACTGCAATGTATGTTAGCTGAGTATACTATAGGCTTATGTTAGCATATAATGTAAATAGGCTTATGTTAGCAGTTGTTAGAAGTATATAAACCAACATTTTTATACTTTACAGAATTAATGAGAAAATTGGTTTATCTCTCTTAATCACTCTCTCTCCTACTTTACTCTTTCGAGTTCTTGAGCTGAGAAGTTTGTTAAAAAAACACGATAAAACTTTATAAACTGTTATCGAATAACGGGAAAAGTTAAAAAAAAAAACAAACCAGACTTTTATTACATTGGTAATCACTAAAAAAAAAAAAGATTCAAATGAAGACATAATAGATATACCTCAAAGTCTCAAACTCAAAGGTGTTATCAGGGACCAAAAAAAGAAAGAAAGGAAACGTCAATCAGACAATCACTTTCGTAAGCCTGAGCTTAATTGTTGGCAACAAAAAAAAAAGAAATAAGACCAAAGCCTAAATGGCTAATCTGAGTCATCGAATAATGTATTATTGATCTTATTACAAAACTGTTTTAATTTGTTTTTCTTAATGTTATTTACGAAAGTGCCACTTTATATTGGTGAACGTGCGTTTTGAGACCTGAGGGTAGGTCGCGTTGCTTTGAATTTGAAATTAAGAATACGTTAAATTATTATACTGTTTACTTATTGAAGACAAAACAATGAACTATTTCATAAATGCGAAATAAAATGAAAAGCTTATCAAGCGAAAAATATAATTACGTAAATAACAAAAAAAAAAGGATACCAAATTTGCATAAGGATAGGATAATAGCACGACAAATATGATTCACTAAAATTATGTGATTGATCTCAACAAACATAATTAAAAGATGCCATAAGTTATGTTATAATTGATATGAAAAACTTCAATCCTAAGAATTTGTTTATGTTCCTTTTTTCGGTCGAAAGGATATGTTTTGTTCAAGTTTTTTTTTTTTGAAAAAATTATGTTTTGTTCAAGTTATGACAAAAAAAACATAGGAATTGAGGATTTAACTCAGGATTAAGACTTATATGATATCCTCATTGTATAAAAATATATATATTTTGTTTTCTATTAATAGTAAATATTATATTTCTTTACCATTTTAGTAATTTAAATCCAAAACTTATAGGTTGACAAAAAAAAAAAATCCAAAACTTATATTAGTTATATATAAGGGACTTACTACACGTCCAAGTTGATGATTGCCAATGGACCACAAAAACACTTGAAATGATATTTATTTTAAAATGTTGAAAAAGCATACAAGTTTATTCTTTAAGTTATCATCCGTCCAATGAAGAAAGCACCAACAATGAAATTAATCGATAACTACGTGCCCCATGACTCCCATTAAAAGTCTATGGTGTTGATGAATATTATAGCTTTATAGTATAGTAATAGTATTAGTGATTTAGTGTAGTGTTCATGGTCATAGACTCATAGTTGTGAATATTATATGGAGAGCGAGCTTAAAGTTTCAAAATTGGAATATAAATGATAAATAGAACGCCATATATCCAAAATAGATTTTTTTTTTTATTATTATCCAAAATAGATTTTACAAAGAAGATACTCCTCTTATACCCTTAATTAGTCTTCTAAACATAATGACTGATTCAATTCATTTTGTTTTTTGGGTGCAAACATTTAGGTTTCTATATTATTAAGTTCATATAACTTATAAATTGATTTTACAAAGAAGATACTCCTCTTATACCCCTTTAATTAGTCTTCTAAACATAATGACTGATTCAATTCATTTTGTTTTTTGGGTGCAAACATTTAGGTTTCTATATTATTAAGTTCATATAACTTATAAATTGTAGAGAATGAAATAGAAGAAAAAAAAAAGGCATTTAGGAATGCCTCTATTATGTGAGAAATCTCACTTTGTTAGAAGCAGAGAGAGTGAGAGACAGAGGATGTGTGTGTGTCCAATGTTCGAAGCCACGACCTTGCAGGTCGAACACACCGTGTTCTTGCCACAAAGCAATGACTACATTGGTCGCCCTGGATAGCAAATTGCTTACTTTAACGCTATGTCACGGCAGATTTTTTTTTTTTTTTTTTCTTCAGTGGAAAAAATATATATTTTATCATCAATCTGGTTTATAAAAAGATGGTGTTTATTGAATAGCAAAGTACCAAAGAGGAGCTCAGGTTTAAACCAAAATGGTATACGATTGCTTTGTCAGACAAAAGATTTTGATTCATCAAAAACACAAAAATCGACAAAACGTCGCCGAGGGAGATATAGATTTAAGGATGAAACAGCTACATTTAGAGGCAACAATCACTTGGCTTCACATTCTTATTGAGAAGAGTTGGTTTAGTGATGAGCCTTGGCTTCCGCCTTAATCTGTGAATTCTTCTTTATCTGCATATGAAGAAGCATTTGTTGGTATCACTTAGCAAATCAAGTAACAGTAGATAATTAGATTCCACACCTAATCTGGATAAATAAACAATGGGATGCTCTTAAGTAAGTGGCCAATGCTCGACCTTCATAACTATTTTCTTAGGGTACCAGACACAACATCACAAACTACATTGCAGTAATCAAGCTTCAAATCATTGACAAAATCTTCTAGACTTCTACTAAACATCAAGTAAAAGTGTAAAACTATGATCATTAAATGGAATATGTGATCAGGCATAATCATTGGGTTACTTGTATATGAATGACCAAATTAAAAGGAGCAAAGTAGCATAAGAAATTGAAGCTTCAAAGTATCAGTCAAGCAACAATGAGTATAACACATGATTCGATGGAGACTGAATCAAATTCTCACTAATTCAAAAGCCATAATCTTCGAATTTGCTACGATGGGAAGTGTCAGATTCACGAACCTAAAACCTATTTAAACATCCCCAACAGATCATGTGACCCAGAATTCACTAAAAAAATTGATTCGAGAAATCTGATGAAAACAAGACAAGGAAGATAGAGATGTACCTTCAAAGCCTTGAGCTTGATGTTGCCGTAGATGAGACCCAACCCGAAAGCCGAAGCACGAGCAACCTAAATCGATACAAGAAAAAGACTCGATGAATTCTTAAAAACCAAAAATTCTACAAATCAAGGATACAGATCGAGAAATTGATCGGGGGAGAGAGAGAGAGATAATTAAGTTTACCAGAGCAAGAGTGCTGGTGCCGGAGTAAAGTCCTGGAGGTGGCGCCATTGATTAGTAGTTCGTCGGCAGAGATTAAACCCTAAAACCCCCAAAATCGATCGAATCTTCCGAAATCTCAGATTCGCGAGGAGTTGTGTGATATGAAAGACCAAAGCGGCTCCTTTGTCTCCGTCTTCTCAGAAAAGTAAACCATTGGGCTTTTTATGGGCCTTTATTCAAAAGTACTATACTTCAGGCCCATCATATCCTTCTTACTCTTACGCCCAAATTTGTATGCACATTTGATTTAGTAAAATGATTAAATACGATAAATCAATTAAGACTGGATATCAATGCATTTGTAATCGATGGACTATCAATTTCATAAGAGAAGAAAGATCGTTTTTAGAAAAGAAAGAACGTTTTGATTCGAGGCGGATCCCTTTTTCCTTTGCCTTTACGAGTTGAAAAGAAAGTGGTAACAGGTAGTAGCTCTAGTAGAGTGCAGGACTGTAAATCCTTTTGTAAGTATGTAACCATTTTTAAAATATTGAATATATTAGTAAATTCTGTTTTATTACTATGGATCATATATATACTCCTATTTATGATAAAGAAAACGACATGAAACAACCAAGCATTGAATTTTTCTTTCTTTTACTCGACATGCCAACGTGTTGTTATAATTACAGCCTCTTCATTCACTTCTCTAAATTTGATAATTAGACCACAACCGGTGGATTAGGAATACGAAGATCTATCTCCTCCGGAATATTTTTCCAAAAGCTAAAGCTTCGCTCTCAGCAACTTTAAAAGAAGACGGAGTGGTAATCTAAATTCGATTAAACCAATGATACCAAAACAAAAAGTATTAGAATTTGTGACTAGTCTTGTTGAAGGAGGATCCTTATGTATTGGCCAAATGACAAGGACGTAAGTACAAACTAGCACGTAAAATAAATTTCCAAAAACTGTTTATGATCATTTGGAATTGGATTTGCTACAAGCAATTATGCAAAAACCAAAACATAGTGTACTGTTTTTATTTTATTTTATTTTGTCAAAAGAAAAGGACACACTTTCATGAAATTTCATCCCATATAATAATGTAATAATATAGACTATAGAGAGAAAATAAAGATAAGTAAAAGTATTGGAAAGCTATCGACATACCAAAAAAAGAAAAAGAAAAAAAACAGTGAGGATTAAAATGTTTGGAGAAATAATTATAGACCCTTAGATCAGAACATCGTGGCGGAATCGGACGGTGAAGAATCAACCAAGCTGAGAATGCTATTCCAGTAATTCTTGTTATCCTCATAGTAGTTATACTCACTCTCATTCACCACGCCGGCTCCGGCAACGGTCGTTTCGTTTTTTCCGGTGGATAAACTCCGGTCGACTGAATCACCGAGCAGAAGGCTCGTGAATCCTTCTCCTATTCCTTCCGTTGGACAGTTGATTTGCCTAATCCAGTCGTGTTCGTGTTCTTTGACCAGACTCACATCGGAGGAGGTTGAGGAAGAGACGGCGAATTCAATCATCGCCGGAATCTCAGAGGATTCATTATTTCTATTTCTGCTATCCGTCGGGATTCCTAAAGGCATGAGAAGATTCTCGGAGAATGTCACCGTCGATGTCGGAGATTCAAGCTGTTGGTCTCCGTTTCCTGTCAAAATTTCCATTGATACATTATCAAAGTTGAGTCTTTTTTTTATAAGACCAATGATGTCTCTTACCTTCGTTTGGTTTAGTCCAATTTGTTGATGTTTTATGAGCGAAGCAATGTTGTTGAGGAGCTGATTTGTTAAGGTTATTGTTTTGGTAATGCTGTAAATGGAGAAGCTTTGATTCTCTAGCTAGCCTTGCTTCTGCTTCGAGTCTAGCACTCTCCCATTGAGCCATATGACTAAGCGTGGCTGCGTTCTTGGATTGACCTGTGGTAGACGAAAGTGTCTCGTTTTTGTGCTTGTGGGTCACTGGATCTATCCCCATTTTGACCAGACGTTTCTTCAAGTGTGTGTTCCAGTAGTTCTTGATCTCGTTGTCTGTCCTTTTGGGTAAGTGAGTTGCAATTGCTGACCACCTATGAGATAAAAGACACATCTCAGAGATCAATTTGGCTTTAAAGCGATCACAAATAGTCAAAACTTGTTGGGTCACCTGTTTCCGAGGAGAGCATGGAGTTGAATGATGGTTTGTTCTTCTTGTACAGTGAATTTGCCTCTCTTGATGTCAGGTCTTAGGTAGTTAGTCCATCTGAGTCTGCAACTCTTTCCGCATCTTTGGAGACCTATAAGGAGTTTGAAGCAAAGGTTTGAATAGAGATAGAAGAAGAAGAAGTTGTGCGGTTTTTTGGAAGAGAAAAGAGCAGAGAATGTGGCGAGTTACCAGCTTTCTCAGGCAAAGAACGCCAGCTTCCATGGCCATGTTCTTCAATATAAGCCAAAAGTTTCTGATCCTCTTCTGGTGTCCAAGGTCCTTTCTTCAACCCGGCCTTATCACAACACGGCGATCTACCCATTGTTTTGCCACACAGTTTAGTCTAATCTACTGACGAAGAAGCTTCAATCTGATCCACGGTTTAATAACGTAATGTATGAGATAGTTGTCATTACATGATCCTGATCATGATCAGTATAATCACAAAAGCTGCTCTCTTGGCGTCACTCTGATATATAGAGGGAGAAACACAATAGAAGATGTCTCTGTTTAGGTTCTGTAAGCGCCCCTTTTCCCGGTCTCTGACATGGATTGGCATTCAATAAGATGGGGTCGAGGGATATTATTACCTTTGTGGTTCCAACACCTTGATTTCCTTTTAAAGACTCAACACACCAAAACAGTAGCCATCTTTACCTTGAAGTTGTACCTCTTAACACAAGGTAAAACAGTGAATTTCCAGAACCTGGAGTAAATTTTAAGGTCAACATCTATCAATAGCCCTCACTTTGATAACCCTGCAACTTAGGATAATGTCATAGAGAAGAATGTTTTTCTCATTAGCCTTGAACAAACTCTGTGGTCCTTGAACAGTTTTGACATTTAAACCATTCTTGTCATTTTTCGCATTTTTCTCGCGTCAAGGTTCGCAATCGAGAGTCTCTGATCCCTACTTGTTCACCCCAAATGCCCTCATCAGTTTTTCGGATCAAAACCCATTTAAACTAGTTACATGTTTTAAACACTTCTCACTAAAACTCAATTATTTTACACTAGGATCAAAAAGATGCTCAAGGTTTCTTATTACAGGTATCCTATTAAGTTATGGTTTCTTGAAAGCTACAGAGTTCTTATTGTTTTTTCTCACTTACAGTCTTACCTATAACTAGTTACACTACTTTATGAAAACGTGTTTATTGATTTCTTCTTTTCACATTTTTGTTAGCTTTCGGTAGAAACTCCACAATAGTAAATGCTGTTAAATGGCGGTGAAGAAGTGGAAGCTGGCACTATAATGGGAAAAGCAAATCAGACACAGAGGATTGATGATATTTGGAGTAACTTAGAGCAAAAAGTCTTTATGATTCATAAACCCTAATTATAGAAGGAAAAAAAAGGGAAAATGTAAAGTAGTTGCAAGTAATTAATTGGTTGTCTATGATGTCGCTTAGACTTGTTCTTTATTCAACTAGTCACTTCTCTGCAAATGGTAATATTCTCCCTGTGGAAGCAACAATAGTTTGATGCTAACACATTTACACTAATGGTCACTGTCTCTAAAGATTTTATCAGAAAACTTTGACCGCGGTAAACACGGTATTTTGACCCGTTGTGAATTTGGAAGAGATTCTAACCTTAGAAATGAAGAGAGGAAGCACTAATGTGGTGGGGAGCAAGAAGAAAGGAGGTGAAAAACCTTTCCTTGTGTGGTTCCTTTACCATTTAATGAAAGTCCCACTGGCTGCTCCACTGTTCTTGTTGTCAATTCATCAGAAAATCTATTTTTTCACAAAGATAAACTAACAAAGACAATGAATGATGAAAAGTATACAGAAACTTAACCATCAAATAGCTACTTGACGAGGTAAAAACTTAACCTCTATTTGTTTACCATGTAACCAGTAGCATATCACAAAAGGTAACATATCGATCATACATGTACATTTCTCCTCGACCGTAGCTGGAAACTGTATAACTTAGATTGAATCAGAGTCTATACTTTGTTTCTTACTGACCATTATGCAAATTATTTATAACATACATGGTTTGGATAGTTTGCAGGTGATCAAATGTTGTCGACAAAGGTAACTTTGGCTGCCAAGAAAGGTAGACAATTAAATGGCGGTGACGGTGACATTAAAGATATTTTACCAGACCAAACAAAGAAAAGAGTATCCTAGTGTGTGCCATGGTAGCAAAGAAAGGATTTATTGAGGTGGGCTCCAAGCTTGTAGGAAGAGAAGAAAGTATCTTCATCGACTCAAAGAAAGATAAACCATAAGACAAGATCACAAGGCCCAACGAATTGTACCAATAAAAACAAAAAAGAAATTTGGAAAAATCATATTGACTGCAAAAGATGTAAAGGACAATGGGGACACCTCTTTAATTGTCTTGCTCAGTTCATATCGTTCATCTCTTATGGTCCAAACAGTGCTCAATAACCTTCATAGATGATGATTCCACTTGTCAAAATCTCATCCATCCACGTAGCTGAGATTGAGAGAAATAAGAACCAATGAGCTTAGAAGAGGGGCCAAAGCTTTTAAAGTCAACCGATAACCATTTGCTTTTCTTCATCATTAGTCTTTGGACCAGAAATTATAGTTTCTTAAATTCCCACATCAATGCTCCAAGTCTTTTGCATCAGTATGCGCTCGTTCTACCAAAAAGAACAACGAGTCAGTCACACGCATGGAAAAACAGTAAACTAGAAGTACATGAATGCTTCAAGTCTTTTTCCTCAAACTTTTCGTAGAAAAAACTATGTAAAACACTTTTAAGTTCGCTTAGTAATTACTGAACACAAGACATACAAAAACGCAGAGACTGTTTCCTAAGTTCCCCAACTAAGCAAGTCAAAATTGCTTGTTCTCAATCAAAACATCTCTCAGTAAGTGATGCTCTAACCTTTTCCATTCACTAGCTTCAGCAAGATATGACCAAATCATCCAACTAAAAGTCAACATAGAGGAAGGAAGCAAACAAGACAACTTTCATCGTAATCACAGTAGACCAAGCATAATCAATTACTTTTAGAGAAGAACTTAAGACAAGAAACAAGCCACGCAAGTGTTAGAAAGAAACTACAACAAACTTAGTACAGTGTTAAAGACTAGTTAATAATAGAATTAAAACTGTATTAATGGATTAGTAGTCCCTTCACAAACAGTACACACTATTGAGACCCTCTCGACAAAGAATACAAGTAATATTAAGAGGATATGAGATTTAACTGATAGTTAGTTCATGTAGGGCCAAAAAACAGCTCCAAGTTGTGAACTTTGAATTCCCAATTCTCTGTGACCACATCAAACGTAATTTGCCTCTCCGGAGTTTAACTATAAGATTTAACAAAATAATATCAAAAATTTAAAGCAAAACAACAGCAAAAATTAATCATATAACAAAACTACAAAAGTGACGAGTCCTCCCGATAGAGTAAAAACGGACCAACTAAGAACGGGATGCCTATGCGCGTTTAGTTTTTGACGTTTTTTAAATTGAACACTTAAACTAATTTTTCAAAAGTAATAGTGAAATTAACATGGTTTTAGTTAAAATTTATTAATTAGTTTTCTTAATGTTTAAGTGTTACATTTGTTTTAAATTTTAGTTAAAATTATTATAAATTTTTAAAAATGAGTTTTAAGTGTTAAATCTATATTACGTGAAAACAAGCCGAACTTCGAACACCAAAGCTTACGGACCAACTAAGGACGGGATGCCTAGGCGCGGTTAGTTTTCGACGTTTTAAAAATTGAACACTTAAACTAATTTTTTTTTTAAAAGTAATAGTGAAATTAACATGGTTTTAGGTAAAATTTATTAATTAGTTTTTTTTTAAAGTTGAAGTGTTAAATTTTAGTTAATAGTGAAATTAACATGGTTTTAGTTAAAATTTATTAATTAGTTTTCTTAAAGTTTAAGTGTTAGATTTGTTTTAAATTTTAGTTAAAATTATTATAAATTTTTAAAAATGAGTTTTAAGTGTTAAATCTATATTACGTGAAAACATGCCGAACTTCGAACACCAAATCTTACGGACCAACTAAGGACGGGATGCCTAGGCGCGGTTAGTTTTCGACGTTTTTAAAATTTAACACTTAAACTAATTTTTTAAAAAAGTAATAGTGAAATTAACATGATTTTAGTTAAAATTTATTAATTAGTATTTTTAAAAAAGTTTAAGTGTTAAATTTGTTTTAAATTTTAGTTAAATCTTATTTTTTAAAAATCAAAATTATTGTGATTTATGATTTAAAAAAAAGGTGAAAAAGAAAAGATACCTGGAAGTTGTGAAATCCTCATGAGTCTCAACACCAGCCGTTGTTCCTTCACACCAGACATTGTCTATTTGTCTGAACCCATTCTGTTAACGAAGTCTTTCAGTACCATCATGGATTCCGCATCAGATAGCTGACCTGCTACGCCAACAATCTCATCTGTCTTTTCAGGCCGTCATAACAGAATCAGGTTTTGTCAGATATCCATTCTTCGTTTATATCCTGAATAGGAACACTCACGAGTTCAACATCTAGCAAAATACTTGTCAAAAATAGTGTTTTTTGAACAAAAGCATAAGATACCTCATGATTAAGGCGTGGAATGATACGCATCACTTCTGGTCCTCGACTATCAACACGGATTCTCTTGCTTTCAACTCCCAGTTTCTGGCTTTAAAGGCAAAAAGGCTTTGAGGTCAAGGCTCCAACAGGACAGATATCTATAACATTTCCAGAGAGTTCACTGGTCATAAGCTTTTCAACATAAGTTCAAATTTCTTCTCCACTACCACGACCTAGTTAGTATACCAAGATTTTTGAACCCCATCAACTTATGAAGCAAAAAATCGTACACACATACAGAAACATTATACATATCTAACCTAATCAATAGGATATCATATCTATCACATGAACAAAAACATCACACTTTAACCAAACTATTAATTATAATAACCTTGTACACTGGATACAACGAGTCTTCGCAAGAGGACCAAGGTTCTTATCAACAACAGAGTAAAACCAACAATCAAAAAGGACCATAACAATAGCACGAAATCCAAATTTCTTCTACCAATCAACGATCAAATCAATCCATCAGCGGAAAAAATCTCCTATAATCCAAAGTTCACTGAAACTAACCTGGAATTTCAGGCATGGCACACGACGCTACAGGCTTAGGAGATTTCTCAATCTCAACAAGACACATCCTACAATTCCAGCAATCGACAAACGAGAATGATAACCAAACCTTGGAAATCATCATTCACAGAGTTTCTGTATAAAGACATTCGCTCGAAGAAGAAGAAGAAATAGAGAGAGCGTTTTGATATTTCTCTCTCAAAGTAAGAAATAGAAGAAGCAAAGTGTTTATTAGGTATTGATCAATCAACGTTATAGCAGAAAACAAGAAGAAATACTAATTTCTCTCTTGAAGGAAGAAATAGAAGAAACTGCGTGAGAGCTTATTTATTTACAAGCAAAGTGTTAATTAGGGTATTGATCAATCTTATATATACACACGAGATTACGATATAGCCGTTGGAGCCAGTTATGTTTCCTTTTTTTTATATATACAAAGAGGTTCAAAAGAAAAAGGTTTTCTTTTTTCTTTCGACGGTTTTTTTTTTTTTTTTTTGGTTTCATCAATATAATGATACGATGGAGATATTGATGATTATATAAGTTATGCAGAGAAGAAGCAAAAAGGAAAATGAGATGGAGATGATCAGGGCCGGTCCAAAGTTTCAAAATTTTCTTTGATACCCTACGCATAACTAAAAATTTAGGCCTTGATACAAATTTCTCTTCTTGCACAATGAAACGATATTATTATGTTATGTCACAAAGTTTCAAACTTATTGTATCAAAAACGTTACAACATAAATACACAAGTGAACATAACGCCGTGTGATTCATTCGCCGACACATGCTAAACCAAATCTTCATTAAGGTTGATGATCCGATCCTCAAAAAACAGAGATGGAGCTGATGATCCGATCCTCATAAGTATACTAACTACAACATTGTCTTCTTTCTTTTCTTCTGTGTATGGACTAGTATTGCGTCCTTAGAAATTAAGGGTCAAGTATGGATAAGATAAAAATATTGGGGGCCGAATTGCAAATATTCGTGATATTTTAGCTGTATGGTTTGGGTTCCGATCACAAAGAGAATCGAATCGAATCGAGCTACTTTCTCCGCCGGCTTTGCTCTGTTATTGTGATCGTTCGCTTACCAAATCCGAACAAGTATCGATGTCGAGCTCAGGCCAAACGCAGTTCCGTTATACGCAGACGCCGTCGAAGGTGGTGCACCTGCGGAATCTTCCATGGGAATGCGTCGAAGAGGAGCTCATCGACCTTTGTAAACGATTCGGCAAGATCGTCAATACCAAGAGCAATGTCGGCGCCAATCGCAATCAAGCTTTCGTCGAATTTGTGAGCTTTTTCTCCCTTAGCACCATACATAAAACCTAGAAATCGAAGTTTTCTCGAATTGTAGTATCTCTCACCCGGAATAGGTTTCTCAAGTTTTATATCTATGGTTGACTCTTTAAGCTTTCGTTTTCGCGATTTCTATTGATGAACCATTAATTTGATTTACAGGCTGACTTGAATCAAGCTATATCAATGGTTTCGTATTATGCTTCATCTTCAGAGCCCGCACAGATTCGGGGCAAAACTGTCTATATTCAGTACTCTAATCGCCATGAAATTGTTAACAATCAGAGTCCTGGAGATGTCCCTGGAAATGTCCTCTTGGTTACCTTTGAAGGAGTGGAATCTCACGAAGTCAGCATCGATGTCATCCATCTGGTGAGTGCTATTACTTGATTTTAGCATTTTGGTTTACCTGGCACTTTGAGTGTGAGCTTCTTTCACTGATTTTTTTTTTTATAAATCAATGGGTATTTCTCAGCGGGAATTGGTTATTTTTTATGGAAATTGTTGAGATTGATGGTTTTACATGGGTCAGGCATTACATGCGGTAGTGTGTTGTGCTTCGAGCAGATGAATATATAAAAATTTCTAATCAACCAAACTTCTTTGAGTAATTTTTACTTAGATATACTATTCCAGTTACAGTATATCAACATTAATGAAATGCTCGAATCACAGATGTTGATGCCTCTTTATTAAAATCTTTCTGGAGAGAGTTTGGAAATAGTATCGTGTTCGTCATTCTCCTATCTATGGTCTATCATGCCCATAAGTGGACAGGTGTCACTCTGTACTTATCTGGGCTTCTCTTTTTTAGCCCCTATCCGGGAACATTTTAGTTTCTTTCTGTTAATTTGGTTCCCTAAGTTGTTCTCCCTCCAATGTATGGTCATGATTAATATCGAGTCCAAACTTGTTTCAGGTATTTTCTGCTTTTGGATTTGTGCACAAAATTGCCACTTTTGAGAAAGCTGCTGGTTTCCAGGTGAGATGTTGAGATTGGTATTGACCGTCTTGTCTCTATGGAGATGAATGGAATGATATTAAACTTATTTTTTGCTTTCCTAACCTGCCAGGCACTAGTTCAATTTAGTGATGTGGAGACTGCATCTGCGGCAAGGAATGCGTTGGATGGCAGAAGTATACCCAGGTATACTCAAATTCTTTCTGCATCCCATCAACCCATGTGTTTTCTCCTTAGGAAATAACTCTACTGATTATTTATTCTTTTGTTTTTGGAACATTTAAATTCAGATATTTGCTTCCAGAACATGTTGGTTCGTGCAATTTGCGAATGTCTTATTCAGCTCATACTGATCTCAACATCAAGTTTCAGTCCCACCGGAGCAGGTAGAGTTTCTGCATTGGCTGCCATCAATGTTGAACACCTTATGTTAAGAAATAGTTGATTCATATGTTTGATTCGTTGATGTACTCAGAGATTACACAAATCCATACCTTCCAGTAAATCACACCGCAATGGATGGGTCTATGCAGGTATAATTTTCTTCCCCTGCATTCCCTGCACTTTTATCTATCCCTCTCCATTAGTATTTACCTTTTCTTACGTGGTCTATGACATTGTCTTCAGCCTGCTTTAGGTGCTGATGGCAAGAAAGTTGAATCTCAGAGCAACGTCCTTCTCGGTTTGATTGAGAATATGCAGTATGCTGTCACTGTGGATGTTCTTCACACGGTGAGGAACAACAGTCATGCACATTTCTGCTTCTAATCATGCTTAATTTCTCAAAAATAATATCCTTTGCTTCTCGTAGGTGTTTTCTGCATATGGAACTGTCCAGAAGATTGCTATATTTGAGAAGAACGGTTCAACGCAAGCATTAATTCAATACTCTGGTACATCTGACTGATGATCTGCACTAATGTTTAATTGTGACCCGATTCAACCCCTTTATTAATTCTGAACATCTTTTGGTTACTATAAAATCATCTTCTGCTTAGTGTTTTCTATTTCTTCTCTGTAGATATACCAACAGCAGCAATAGCCAAAGAAGCACTGGAAGGACACTGCATTTATGACGGTGGCTACTGTAAGCTTCGACTATCATACTCTCGTCATACTGATCTCAATGTTAAGGTACATAAGATTTGTTGTTTTTTTGAGATGTGTACCTAAAAAACAACAATTGTGAGGGGAAGAGAATAGTAACGGAATTGCGTATGCTTTTTTCTTTTCTACATTTCGCAGCAAAATATTAAATCAACTTCTAATTCTCTTTTTCGATTTCTCCGTGTTTGAATGAAGGCTTTTAGCGACAAAAGCAGAGACTATACACTCCCCGATCTAAGCCTACTTGCACAGAAGGGTCCCGGAGTGTCGGCTTCTGCTCCACCAACAGGTTGGCAGAACCCGCAAGTGCAAACTCAATACTCAGGCTATGGTGGAAGCCCATATATGTACCCATCATCTGATCCCAATGGGGCTTCACCCTCAGGTCATCCTCCTTACTATGGTTGAGTTTACTTAAAATTTCGGATTTTGCTGCCACTGGGGAGTGTTTCCATGTTTAGGTTTGTTTGAGGTAAAAGTGTGATTGTTTTTCTTTTGGTATTGCATATTTTAAGTGGGAAACCCAATAATAAATCGAAACACGTTCCAAGCGCCAATGTTACGCTTGCTAATAGATTCAAAAGTCATAGAATATGACTCATTGATGCAGACTATAGCTCATATAGGTGCAAGTATTATGAAGTTGCACCCATCTATTAGTAGTGTGGCCTGATAATGAACACAGCAACAATATTTCCATATCCTTCAAAGCAACATAAAGATAGAATGAACTAGATCGTTTTCAAAGACTAGATGACAAATGAAACACAAACCGATTTGACAGAGTAGAATGCAGGTTGAAATTGTTACAGTTCTTTAAAACAATGTTTGTAAAATATCAGTGATCTTAATATTAAATTTTTTTTAGAAAAAAGACAAAATTGATTTGAAGAAGGAAACAACACACATCATTTGTTTGATAAATCCTTGGCTTTCTTCTTAATTCGCTGAGCCAAAGTGGACGAAGAAACTGCATTTCCCGCCTTTTTCTTCTCAGAATCCTTGTTCATCATCTTCATCTTCAAAGATTTGACAGTAGAAGTCAGTTCGTGTCTCTCCTTCTTCGACCCCAAGTTACCATCTGAATTCAACTCATGTTTCTCCTTTGGCGCTTTCACATCCTCGTGGCTTTTTGGATCTTCCTTTTGCTTCGCAGCTAATTGCCTTGCATAAGTCGCACTCCTGCAAAAAAAACAAAGTATCCCCCAAAATTCATAAGCAATTCACACAACACATTCTCATAAAAAAACCAAATTTTCATCAATTTACCTTTTAAACTGTGGGTCTGTAGGGTCTAGAGCATAGAAAGGAGATGAGAATAGAGCTGAGAATCTCGGATCATCAAGATCAGCCGCAGGTATCTTCTCTTCCGAAATATCAGTTTTTCCTTTTTTACCTTTCCGTTTAATATTATACCCTTTCAGACCATTACCATCTCCTGCATTCTCATCAGCTAGTAACAACTCAAGCTCCGCTCTGCTTTTTTCTTCCGCTGCTACTTCCTCCTCTAAACCCTTCTTCTTCGTCTTTCCTTCTTTCTTCTTTTTCTTGAGAGGAGGTTCTTCCATAAAGAAATCGTCATCACCATCATCTTTCACTGCCTTTCGATCAATTTTATAATCATCATCATCATCCGGAGAAGAAGAATCATCGTTCTGTTTATTCTTCCTGGCTCTCTTCTTCTCACGTCTCTGCCTTAGATATGTTTCCCACACTGATTCTGACTTGCTGTCTTTCTTTTTAAGAATCTCTTTACTAAGATCTTCTAACCCGGTATTGAATGTTACCTCCATATCCTGGCCATCCTCCTCCTCCATGTCTTTATCAGAATCAACATCTTCGGATTCAATTAAAGCTCGGTACTTATCTTTCCTCTTATCCTCCTTTCTTTTACTCTGGTTAATACCTTCTTTGCTGTCGTCGTCTTCGTCATCAGAATCACTCTCATCAGAAGCTAAAAACTCCTTCATCTCAAGATTTGCCAACTATGATTGAGAAAAATTTATAAACTATATCAGAACACTAACACTACAACTAAAGGAGATGATTTTAACCAATTAAGCCTAATCACATAAATTATAAACCGTATACAGACCTGTTCAGGATTGAATTTCTGATTTAAGGTCTTAATCCGGTGCGGTTCATCTTCATCCCAAGAAAGATTAACTTTGCTCAACTGCAGAGCTCGGCTCTGAAAATCTAAACCTTCATAACCAGCAGGTGCCTAAATTTTTATAACAACTATAAGATCAGAAGTATTCACCATGAAAACCAAAAGATCTCAAATAAAAGGAAGTAGCTGTAACGCACCTCAGATGCGATATCACGAGGTGGATGTTTGAATTCCATGGAATCGGGAATAAATCTTAGGTCGAGCTTGTTAGAGGATCTCTCAAACTCAATTCCATCACATGATTTGTACAAGTGATCTGCAGTAGCACTTGAATCACATTCGGCAACAGCGAAATAATACCTGAAAACAGAGCAATAGTAATAGCGAGTTTCAGTAATAGTCCCTCTTTCCACCACATATAGCTTAAAAAGAGCAGATTCGAACTTACTTTAATCTACTTATTTCATAGGCACGTAGCTTCTGGTTGATGACATCCTCATCTTCCTCCTCTTCTTCATCTTCATCATCACTACCTTCATTCTTTTTGTCACCATCAATTACCGGCCCATGGATTTCCTCCTCTTTCATTCGCTCAAGTCCAAATTCAGATGGATAGACTGCCACTGACAAAATGCGCCCATCTTTTGGCAGAAACGAATTCAACACCACGTACAAGTCTTTAGCCTAAGTAACAAATAAGATATCATTCATAAGAACAACTGCAAAACTTACAGAACACAGACTCTAGACAACGCAAAGAAACAAACAAGCTCTGGTTTTCGAGCAAAAAGCTTAATCCTTCAGTATCCATTCCCACTAGTTCCATAACCATAGCAAAGATTTGAAACAAAACATCATCGATGGAGAACTTACAGAGACATGTCTCCAATCCATGTTAACAATAGCCAGTCTGTGAGTTTCTTCTGGGATAAACGGAATGTTCTCTTCCTACATGAGAAAAATGATTATATCTCAAAACTAGTAAAAACAACAACAAGGCATAAGAATCAAAGTTGAGAAATTTTACCGGAATTTCTGGTCCCTCGTCTTCATAGATAGCTTCATCGTCCTCATCTGTATCATCCTCTTCTTCTTCCTCCTCCTCCTGCGATACCTCTTCAGAGTCTGCTTCCTCGTCAGACTCTGATTTCTCATCAGAGACTTCTTCATCCAAAGAAGCAACCTTTAGCTCACTCTCTTCCTCTGATTCTACATCGCTAGATTTTTCGGATTTCAGATCAATCATGTCTTTCTCACTCTCGCTCTCATCCCCAGATTCCTCCTCAGTTTTCTTCTTCTTCTTCTCATCTTCATCTACAATTCGATAAAACTCTCGAAGCGAATCCTTGCCACTGCCTCCTCTTCTCCGCTTGCCACGCTTATCGACAGGAGCAGAAGCAGTAGTAAATCGCTTATCATTAAACATCCGCTGGAATCGAGAGTCAATCGCGACTTTGGAGTCACGCCTCCGAATCCTACGGAATTTAGGGTCAGTGTGCGCCGACGAAAACCTTGGATCCTTAATCATTTCGTTTCCTTCGTCTGCGACTCCACCGGATCCTTTAGCTTCATTGCTCTCTCCTTTCCTTTGCTTCTTGTTCTTCGAACCCATTGTTAGATTTGATTCAGGAACAACGGAGCTTTTAGGGTTTTAGGAGCAGTGGCTGTTGTTTACAAGGTTGAAGAAGCAGAAGTACCACAAAGTTAGGGTTTTTATATGTCTGCTTTGGAGCTCACATATAAAAATAAGTTTTTTTCTTTCTTTATGACGTCATGTGAAAAAAAAAAGAGAGTTATCTAAAAACGCTTATGTGTCACTACTTGTGCTCTAATTACACGAATATACGATTCACATTCCGATTGGATTTGGACCCTTCAAAAAATAAAAAAAGAGATTAATTTTGAATTCATCATGACGACGACGACGACGACGACGACGACGATTCAGTTTCTCTCTACACGTTGAATTTCTTGCTTCAGGAACCTTCCTTGTTCTCGCTTCAATCTCTTCTCTTTTGGATCAATCAATATCCGATCAGTTTGCACGAACTGAGAAGTTGGGTTGCGGAGGAAGAAGATTCATCATTTGATCTGATTTCGTCGATCAGATTGAAACCGAGCTTTTATATCCAATTTCAATCAGGTGACTTCGATATTCCTCTTCGTTTGCTCGATCTGATTTCTGGGTTTTTGATCGAAGAATTGGGATTCAAATCTAGTTGCTGATTAAACTCGTGGAGATCCAATCCCTATACTAGTTCGAATTGGATTTTTGTTTGGTAGAGAGGAAAATATCGAAATCGGTTGTTTGTTTTCTAAAGGGATTCGAGTTTTGTGAGTGAGATGGTATATTTGCATAGCTCAATCTCGGTCTGCAATTCCGTCGACCAAGCTCCAACTTTGATCATGTCCAACTCTGTTCACTCTTCAGATTTGCATCCAAAATCGAGAAACACCCGTAACAAATCTTCTTACACATCATCACCAATAACCTGTTCCAAATTCCCTGTCTGCGATGGGTCTCAATCGGCTGCTATCGACGTCGTCATCCTTATCGCGGTGATCACCGCCTGCGGGTTCTTGTTCTTCCCTTATGTCAAACTCATCACCCTCAAATCGATTGAGGTCTTCTCGGATCTCTCGGTTTTAGTCAAAGAAGAGATTTTGCAGAACCCGATTGTGTATGGATCATTAGCTTTGAGTATCTTCTGCGCTGCGATCTCCACTTGGCTTGTTATACTCTTGTGTACTATGCAGAGATGCGGGAAACCGAATTGTAAAGGGCTTAGGAAAGCTGTTGAGTTTGATATTCAGCTTGAGACAGAGGAATGCGTCAAGAGCTCGAATAACAATAGCAACAAGAGGGGAATGATTGAGTTGCCTCGCGTCCATCACCGTGAATTGGAAGCCGAGCTCAAGAAGATGGCACCGCCTAATGGCCGAGCCGTTCTGGTTTTCAGAGCCAGATGTGGTTGTTCTGTAAGGAGACTAGTGGTTTCAGGGCCAAAGAAGCAGCAGAGGAAGATCAAGAAATGAATTAGAGAGAGTTAAAAAAGGTTTAATCTTTGGAAATGAGATTGGATCATTTCACATTTCTTCTGTTAGTTTTATTCTCATACACACTCTTTTACAAGAATTTATTTATGTTATAGTCTATGTGTTTAAATAATGTACAATGGGGAATAAGCATTGTAAGGATATTGTGGGAAACAGGTTATAGTGAAGAACATTTTGGTTATACTCTCTGATTTCTGCTTACTTTTTCGAGCCCTGTGGAAATAGGCACTGATGTTGTATATGGTATATGATCTGGTTAGGTTGAAACTTTTGTGCAGGTTACAAAAGAGCTGTTACTAACATTGAAGAACATCATCATGTGTGTTTGTGTGTCTTTTAGTTTTCTTTGTTAACAAAATCATGTTATTAGTTCCAGTTTTCTGCCGGTAGGTTAACAATTAGAAAATTATGGAGGGTCAAGTTGGCTCTTTTAATTAAAAAAAATGATTATAGCCAATACATGGCCTTATAGGTTTAGTTAAATCACTAAAAACGAATATTTTTCTGTTACAAATTGTATAAGTTTAATTCAAATCCGAATATTTCCAACATGTTTAAAAGTTAAAACCAAAAACTTAGAACAATGAATAAGGAAAGAACAATCAAGATAATAAACTTGACCCTTTACCAACTTTATATTTAATAATTAGTATGAGGGAAAATATTTCAACAAGGCTCTTTCTCAGCAGCTTCTTCATCATCTTCTTCTTCTTTATAAAGACACTCTCTTGAGTCCCTCGCTCTCCCTCTCTCCTCTCTCTCTCTCTCTCTCTCTGAAATTTGATGGCGGTACTCTCAGCATGTTGGCTAATGATAGAATCCTTAGTGATTCAAGATGGTTTCTTGAAATTATCTTACATGAAATTATACATGCACCCTCTTGTTCTCTTTCTTTGCCAACTTCTTATATGGCTCTATCTCTTCTTTTTATGGCTTCTCACACCCTTTCAGGCGTTTTACAACACCTTTTCATCGGTCTTGGTCACTTTCTCTAAGCTAGTTAGTAGTTTTCTCCGAGTCATTATGGTTAGAAAGGAGGTTACATGTAGTGTTGAGTCTAGGCAAGAGATCAAGAATACCCTTGATAACTTGGAACTTTCTAGAAATACTCATAACCCGGTTCCTGCCTTTAGCTTTTCGTTTAAATATCAAGTGGATAGTCAACTAAAAGTTCGGTTATCTCTGCAAAAAGGCAAGATTCTTGAAGAAGAAGATGTTGATGATTGTTTCTATGAATTTGATGAAGAAGATGTTGGTGAGCTTCTTGATGCTAAAGAGGGCGAGGAGGAAGAAGACATTGACATTGTTGATGCTGTAAACATGGAGAAGAATCTTGGGTTCGAAATTCAGACTATGCCAATACATCAAGAAGATGAAAATTCATTAGCCGATGATAACGAAGAAGAACAAGAGGAGATTGTAAACTCAGACGTGGAGAATGATCTATCTTCTCTAGTATCTAGCGATAGAGAGCATCCCTCGCCTTTATCTATTGCAAGCTTGGATTCAGTGCTCCAAGATTCGGTTGTGATAGAGAATCAAACACTCAGAGTTGAAAATGATGAAACCGATCAAGTATACAAGATATACTGCGAAAGGATGAGATGGTATGACATCCTCAGCCGCGATAGAAGCTATGGACTAAGTAAGTCTTTTTTTTCAATTTTTTTCATTTTTTGTCACTAAAGGAGATTTAAAGTATCTACAATGACCAACAACAATAATATTCAAAAAAAAACATATCATAATTTCATTAATGGTAATATTCGTTTTTTTTTTTTGCCAAACAATTAATGTTAATATTCATTTTTTATATTTCTAGGTGTGATCACAAACCAACTAACGGCAAGTAGTTTGAGCTTATGGGGAAAACCGGCAGAGAAGAGGATAAAACAAAGCATGAAGAAGGACCTTGAGCTAGTCTATGTTGCTCAATCGTGCTTGTCATGGGAAGCTCTTCAGCATCAGTACATTACAGTGAGAGATAGTTCGAACCTCGCTGATTCGAGAGGCAGGTTCTATGACGATGATATCTCTAGAGAGTTCCAGAACTTTCAGGTTTTGTTAGAAAGGTTCTTGGAAGATGAGAGATGTGAAGGAAAACGAGTCTTGAGCTTTGTTCAAAGAAGATTTGAGTTGATAAGCTTCTTACAAGTCCCAAGACTTTCAGGTAAATTTATTTATCACAAACATTCACAACAATATAATAATAATACTAAGACTTTTCTAAATTCATATATAGATTTATTACTTTTCTTCGTGGGTTACATCGAGTATAAATTGAGAGTTCTTATAATAGTAGTTTTTAATTACGTTGGTTGGAATCTTAGGAACCCAAATACAACTTTTTTAAGTAATAACAATTAATCTTTCTTTTTCTTATAAAATTATAAAGATGTGGTCAAAAGATAAGTTTTAACAGATTTCTTGACTAAAGTCTAAAGTCTCTATCAAGATTCTTGACTTTACTCCTTAAGAAAACATTTTAAAATTCCAACATATATATTTCATTTTAGATACGACTAATCTATCGATAAAAAATTTAAACAAACATGAATAAAATACCTTATAATTTGGAATTGCTGTTTGTAATTCTAAAGAAACAGTCAAGTTTTGGTCTCTAACGGGTTATGTGTCGACAGAATCTTCCGACGTAAATTGGTAGATAAGTCACACAACTCACAAGTCACAGGAACAACCTTATCTACAATGTTGTATTTTAATCAATTGTACTCTTGAAAATTGTCAACTCTATATGTTGACTAAGAAACAAATGTGCTTACGATGGAAACTCAAAAGAAATGTCAAATTTAGAGGTTAGAATGATTTATCCAATGTGAAGTCATTGTTCGTATATATAATTTCACATGATACTTTTTTTGGTCAATTTCTCATGATATTCTAGCTTTGTTTTCATATACAATTATCTAACTTTTACGCAAAATTAGATTGTTATTTTCAACTAATTTATATAGTTTTCGTATATATTTTTTTTTCTCAAAAGGATATAATAGAGAGGGACCTTATGAAGGAGAAAAAGAAAGACCGGACAAACAAGTGTTGAACGCAATAGAGAAATGCATTGAAGTCTTCTATGACTTTGTGAAAGTAGACATTAAAAAACCTTTTTTTTGGGAAAGGCTTAAAATCTCTTTGGTTAATTCTCCTCTTATGGAATTGGAAGATCCTAGAGACTTTAGGCTCTTTCTTGACCTAAAAGAATCACTCCAAAAGGTATTTTTTCTATTACAAACAATTAAAGACTTTAAACTTCCCAATTTCTCTAGAGTTTTTTAATTAAGAATCTTAATATTTGGACTTGTGAAGAAGGAACAATTGTTGAAGGAAATGCAAGGGAACAAGAAGAAAATTTGGTTCAAGAAGAAATCTTTTAACATAGAAGAAGATACGATTGAGAAAGATGAGCATTTTATGTTAATGAGATTCATAATAATAGATTTAAAGCTTGTGTCTAGGGTTTTACACATGTCTTTGGTCTCATCTTCTCACCTCAAGTGGTGTCAACACAAGCTCAACAACATTCACTTCAATGGTGACAAGATCTCTAGAACTTTCTCTCCTGTTTTATTCCCATCTTCTTGATTTCTTTAAGTTAGGTTTTTCACCATTTGTAATTATTGTTCTACTTTGTCAAGTCTATTTATCACTTTAGAATTACTATAGAGAGAGAGCAAGAGATTAACAAGCTTGACCCTTAACCACAAGGAGCCTAAATGGCATGAGAAATTGCCAAGCTCCAATGTAGTTTTATCACCAAATCTACACAACTAAGCTTCTTAACAATTCCAAAGACAGGTTCTTTATAGACAGTAAAAAAAAAGGAACTTTACCAATGATACTTAGCAGCAACAAGAACTTCTTCGTACTTCTCTGCAGCATTATCCCAGCTCAAATCTTGTGTCATTCCTCTTCTCTGAAGCCCTTCCCAACTCTCCTTATACTCTCTATATGTCAACAAACAGTTTCCTAAGGCATGAATCAACTTACCTGCTTCCGCGCTATCAAATGTCCAACCAAGACCCGTTTCACTATATGGGTCAAACTGTTGAACTGTATCCCTCAATCCTCCCACGGCATGGACCACCGGAATGGTTCCATAGTTCATTGCGTAAAGCTGGTTTAGACCGCACGGCTCAAATCTAGAAGGCATCAGCAATATGTCTGCACCAGCTGTTATTCTGTGTGCTGTTTTAACTGAGAACCCAACCCATCCCCGTGCTTTATCTCGGTATTGATGCTCCATTTGTCTGAGGACCTCTTCAAGATCGGGTCGCCCTGAGCCTAACATAACCAGCTGAACATCCTGACTCATCATCCATGGAACCGCCTCAGCTATCAAATCAACACCTTTCTGGTGATCCAATCTTCCAATAAAACCGATCAGCGGAACATCAGGCCGAACAGGCAAACCGAGCTCTTTCTGTAATGCAGCTTTACATTGGGGTTTACCAATGTGAAGATTCTCCAAGGAATAGTTGGTATAGTCATCAGAGTGCAAGTAAGTATCAAATTTTGGGTTCCATTCTTGTGTATCGATACCGTTCACAATTCCTCTAAATTTCCAGTCGTTTTCATTTATGATGTTATGCAGACCCCAACCTCCTTCTAAGGTCTTAACCTCCCAGGAATATCCATGGCTAACAGTGAGAACTCTATCCGCAGCTTTTAGACCAGCTGCGAAAATGTTGAAGTGCTCACCTCCTACTGGGTCATATAACTTGAAGCTATCCAAGTAATGGTTCGGTAAATCCACATAGGAGAAATCATCTACCGGTCCACGGCCCTAATATTCCACCAGTAGATTATGCATAGCTCTCTTGGATATAAGCATAAAGTAAGTCACTTCTATGGAATGAAGAATTTACTAACCTGATGAGCAATGTTATGAATTACAAGAACAGATCTTGTGTATTTCATTATTCCATGATCCCGGTAATAGGCTTTCAGGTAAACCGGTAGTAACGCAGTGTGCCAATCATTTGCTATAAAAGCCAAATTTCCATCACCATAACACACACCTCCACAAGGAACATACCACGGAACCTGAAACAAATCTCCAGAAAACCAAAATTAGTATAAGAAGAAAGCAAAGTATCGATTTCCCGTTCACAATCTTGGAGCAGAGGTTTACCTCAACAGCAGCCTTGCAAAATAAAACCATCCGCTTCAAGATATCCTGGATTCAAAATACCAAACTTAGTACATGTAGGCAGAAATCGATTTTTGGTAAAGAACAGGGAGAATAAGATTAGTCTTACAAGTCGGTTTCCACCGTAAATGTTATTACTCAGATGCCGGAATACAGGGCTATCAATGAAAACAAAATCCACACCATCTATATATGCATGGAAGTACATTACTTCCATATCCTGCAGCAAAGTGTGCTCCACATGAAATTTTCTCAACCTCATCTATTTTCGTCAAAGAATTTTAAATGGAAAGGAAAGAAACTTTGAATGTTGATACATTAACAGCTTTTATACCTGCCCGGCCACCTTATATCTCTTCCGTACCCCTAAATCTTTGGCTTCAGCATACTCGGCATACCGAGGAACCACAACCTAACAAGAAAATGATTATCTAACAAGTTTGAGTTTCAATGTCCATAATCAAACAGAGAGCTAATCTGACAAAAAGGCACTCTGTGATAAATATTACCATAACCCTATGTCCACGCCGAGCCAAAGCCTTTGGCAAAGCACCAGCTACATCTCCAAGGCCACCTATAAAATTTCTTAGTCTTCAGTTCGTGTACTCCAATAGAAGCCTACTTATGCAAACAAAACCTGCACAATCGATCAAAGATAACTAATGGAATAGTTACCTGTTTTCGAAAATGGAGCACACTCTGCTGCTACCAATATCACATTCATGACGTTTGCTCCAGCCAGTGGAGGTGGCTTCTCTTCATCCTTCCCAGGTTCGTTAGTTTCACTACTAGCTACTTCAGGTGTTTTTTCCTCTCTTGTTTCCACGTACTCCTCTGTCTTCATACTTGATGTTTCAGGAGCTTTAGTCAGGTAAGACGGTAATGGGTCTGACCAAAATGCACCAGCGCGAGATTTACTTGGCTTTTCAGGAGAAGTTTTCTCAGGAGAGGTTACAACAGAAGATGGTTTATAAGGAGGATCTAGACTGGAGGCTACTACGCTAGACCAAGGCTTCCCATTCGCGGCTACATCGGATGGTTTCTCAGGAGAGGTCACAGACGCTGAGCTTTGTTTGCTGTTCTTCAGGGATTCAGTACTGGGAGATAAACTCTTAGCTTCTGGTTCTTTGTTTAAAGATGACTTGCCATAACTGCTTGGGCTAACACTACGGTTTCCATCTCCATCCATCGTTTCTTTTTTAGTTGCATCAGTATTAGCAATCACAGAAGAACCATACTCTTCTTTGGAAGAAGCTTTTCCATCATCCAAGTTAGGTGTGCTCTCTTTAATAGATGAGACCAGCTTCCTCCTTTCAGCAATCTGAAGAGTAACATTAAACACAAATGTCAAAGAACAATTTAATCTTAAAACTACTCAAGAACAGCCTCTAAAGCAGATTAGGGTATAAACACCATAGTTTAATCACATTCTCACTTACAAGCTCATAGTGTAAAAAATGGACCTTTTCTACTCTAAAGATATCTAGAAAACAATTGAGTGACCTAATCCTCACATTGAATCATTTCCACAAAGGCTAAAAAGGTACCTTTACTAAACCAAGGAAATCAATGAAATTGAAGGAAGGATATCTACCTGCTGAAGAAGGTTCCTTTGCATAGCAAGAACCTTCTTGCTCTTCTCAATGGTAGCCTGAAGGGCATCCTCTGGCTCATCTCCTCCACTCGCAGATTCAGAAGAATCTGAGCCCGTAGCCTCCACGCGCCTCACACACTTCCATCGATGTCCGTAAACAAAGCTCCGACAACGAAATGAGAGCGACCCAGAAGGCAATTCAGGGTAAGAAACTCGGACAAGACTCGAATTCCTCAGCGTAGACGAAGTGACCACGCGACGCTGAGTCTTGATTTGACACAGAAGAGGAAAAGAGCTCTCGGCAACTGATGCCATTTACTTGATTCGACGAATTTGCCTCAATTGAACAAAAAAAAAAAGAATCTTTTTTTATGAGCAGAGCAGATCACAAACAAACTCCCACAAATTTCATCCAAACCGAACAAAGTTGATCCAAAGACGAAGGCTTTGTCGGAGAGTAGCGAGAAAAAAGAATGCTTTGTTGCTGCGACGGCTGCGTTGTTGTTGTTGTTAATCAACAGAGAGACGAATCAAACAAAAAAACAGAGTCGTGTGAGAGAGATTTGCCCAAAAATGGGGCCACAAAGAGGAATCACCATAAACTCATAACTCTCAATACCATCGCGTGATTCATGAGATTAATATGGATGGATTTTTATTTTTGTATCTACCAAAACAAAAAAAGTAGTATTGGATTATTATTTACGCTTATACTATGTGAATTGATCTCTCGCCACATAATTTTTATTCCTCGAGATTTTCTTCCTAATCGTCTACAAAATACAGATATCAAGACTGTTTAGCATAATTCCATCAACCTACTTTTTTATTTTTCTGAAATAAATACTTACATAAAAGAATAATTGTGGCACCGTCCACTTGTTTTGAATAAATTCAGAATTTCATAACCATTTCTTTCAATTTTACATTTATTACATAAAATATTGATATCATAACCTACTTAACTTTTTTTTTTTTGAACGTTTGATAAATATATAAAAACGTCAATTTTTGAAGCTTATTAGAGTAAATTTGTTAATGGAAACAAACAAAGAAACGTAATTTAATTAATTATAATATAACTTATAAGTTGATAACATTCAATGACTACTGTGTATATATTATATACATGCAAAATTTAACTACAAGTAGTAAAAAGGTGGAAAACACTAAAAGAGGCTGAAGTTCGAAAAAAATAATGAAAACTAATAATTGTGTTTACATGGCATTTCTTCTAATCACCACGTTGGTATTGTTTGCTTGTCCAAGTTTGGCTTTTGAAGGTAATGAGAAACCGTTGATAGATCCCAATATTGATTTAGACTCGACTTTTGCAAGATCTCCGAGTACGAGTGAATACGATAGAGACGTGCTTAATAAACAGTCAAAAGAACTTGTTGAGTATGCAGGGACTTGCGGTGAAATGATGGGAGGAATTAAATGTAACGATGAAGTGATGTCTGAGATTCTTCAGAATAAACCAACTTCGAGGTATTGTTGTATGAAAATGATGATATATGGCCAAGAATGTCACATGGTGCTGAGGAATCTATTCTTTGAGACTTATTATTACAAACCATTTGCTTCTAAAGGTCGTCCCAGGATTCCTAAAGTTTGGAACAGATGTTCTGCTGAAGTTGGTGGTTTTTAACCATTTTTAATTCTGATAATCTTGACTTTTGTTATCAATAATAATTAAAAAAAAAACTGGTTTAAATTAATTGTATTCGGTTTTTTAAAAATTGTTTAAATTAATTATGGACTCAATATTCAATTAGATCATCCATCTTGATTCAATTTTTTTTCCCAAATGATTAAGCGTTATTACTTGAGCCTTGATAATAATCTGAACTTTCAAGACTTTTCAAAAAATTATACATAGCATTACAGCTTATTCCCAAGAAAACAATCACATTATTAATGAATGAAACTCACAAAGAAACTAACAAAATAAAAGAAGCAAACAATAATAATAAAATCACAGAGAGATATTTTCATTTTTATATCTCTTAATTAGCAGACCGACACGTCTTACGGATCTCCCCGGCCTGACCCGTAAGAACTCCGATCCGACCCATTTTCACCATTGAGACACCAAAGTCACTAAAGAACATTGACCCATGAGTTCTTGCCTGTTGCAAGACATAAGCCCTAGTCTTGGAGTTGTCCAATAGAGCAGCATCCGACTGGAAAAGTCCTCTTCTCTTAGCCACTAGCGTGAAGTAGCTCACGTCGAATGTTTTGAAACTCCCCGGATCCATCTCTAGAGCCGTCGTGGTATCGGTGGGCTTGCATTTCTGCCTGAGCTTAGCAGCGTACTCTGTGTCCAAACTCGGGTCGCTGTCTCCTTTTCCGGTGAAATTGTAAAGCCGGTTTGTCAATAGAGGACAATGTCCCATTCCAATAGTGTGCCCACCTTTAGAAAAAACATGTATATTTTCCATTACCCAAACAGATTTCTAATTAATTATTCATTTTTCAGACTAATATATATCATTCACTCTTACGTACCTGAGAGAACGACTAGATCCTTCTCGTTGAGGCCCTTTGCGCGAAAATCGTTGATAAGCTTGGTGATGTTATCAAAAGGTGATGGCAAGTTGACTTCGTTGATATTAGAAACCCTACCGTCTCTTCTTCCAGTTTCAACTTCCCACGATGGTCCTTCAAGCTAAAAATTAACATATTCATGAGCTCTATATATGTGTTATGTGTATGTAGAAATTTTGTATTTATGTGAAGATTACTTACTGCAACCATTGCGTCTCTAGCGATAAGTGCCAAGACATCAGAGCAAGAAACAATTCCCGGACAAACTTTTTCTAGAGCCGCCTTGGAATCGTCTATGATACCAAAACCTCGAAGGCTTAGGTTAGGAACCGCACTCTTCTCACCTTGATTGTTCGGTTTATCTAGCAAGATTGATCCGTCACATCCCTATTGATTATACGATTCACTCATTAAATAGGCAATTGATGAATACAACTCTAGCTTTGCTAGAAATCTCACGTTGTTAAGAAACTAACGTGACATAAGAAAGATATAAAAATCATGATTCATTTCAGAAACATACCCGAACGAAGCAGTCGTGGAAGAACATTCTAAGCAAAGGAGCACCAACTGTAGGTGCTTTCTTCATCGCATCGAACACTACCTTTCTAACAATACCCTCGACTTGTGGGCATGTTTTGCTGTAGAACCCTACTTTCAAACCTTGTGATTTGGCTTGAGCAAACAACAACACTAAGAACAAGCAAGAGACAACTAGTCGCTTAGAAGCTGCCATTTTCTGAAAACAATATTTAGCTTGTTGCTCTTAGCTTTTGTTTTTTGCTCGATTGATGATGAATTGTTGATGAAGGTTGAAGCTATTTTATACTCAATTATGTAAGTAGTTTAAACTAAATTGCAATATTATAAGAGTTTGTGGTTAGAACATTGAAATTAAATAAACATCAAAATGTAGTTGACTATCATCGGTCTGCGGTGGAATGCTTGTTGTATATTTGTTGTTCTTAAGACCAATCATTGTTTGTAGAAATAAAAAGAGCCAAATTGATACAACTCGACGTACTATTTTTTGTGTATATTATTTCTGTGTTTCTGTGTTTTCTTATGCATGGTGTATATTGCTACCAGAAAACAAATGGCTGCCTAAATTTCTTTAAGCCCGAAATAAATACAAATTGGGTTTTAAAAATGTAAATTTCGTGTGTCTCACGTCACTAAGAGACACCTATAGTTCCTCTAACATGAAAAAGACACCTATAGTTCGGATATAGTTAAAAGTTAAATCAAATGTATATATTACTTAATTGCTTGGGACAATACTTTGCCAACAGGTGGAAGAATAAGTTATATGCCTAAACGTATCAAGTAGATTAATATATCTACATATATGCATATGAATGAATGTTTAATCCTTTGACGTTATCGATAACAATTATTTGATCCCACATGCATCCATGCATTATAGGTTTCCTGTAATGTTTCGTGCATGTTCATCCAATTACGCCAATCATTTGACCGCAACGTTTTAACCTTTTCTAAACTACCGCCATGTGTTAGCAATTAGCATCTATTAATCATGTGGATGAACAAATTAACTAGCAATCATAGATCGAAATTCATGAGTTTTTCATCCACAAAAATTTACGGTCGAATTCGAAAAAAAAACTGACATGTTTCCACGTTCATCGTTTACTTATAGAAGAAAATGTCACTACTGTAATTAGTTATATAAATCGAAGATGGACACAAATCTCTGATCATCTACTTGGACAATCAGAAGTGTTTTAACAAAATATTAAAGGAAAAAACTTTAAAAAGAATTCAGAGTAGCCACAATTATTAGTTTAACTAAAATGATATTAATTTATAGATGACTTTTTCTTTAACTTGCTAACACACCCAAATTGCAACGTTTCAACTAAATGCTAATGACAGTTATTATTTTGTTTTATATATAGACTAGTATTAAAAGAATTCAGAGTAGCCACCACAATTATTAGTTTTTGTTATCCTTCATCCTCTTACATTCGTTGACTAAAACATATGATTCATGCCTCGGTTGGATTTGTTAGTAACTTATTATTATTATTATAGACATCAATTACTTTATTCACTTAAAACTTTATCCAAACTGTTGTTTCCTCCTCTACGGTCAAAGGAGTGTGCTTGCTTAGTAGCGTTTTGAGATACGCGGTACCGTAGTACTAGTGTCTCTACCGTCATGGTACAGCCGCAGAATCACAGCCGCGGTTTCTTCAATCGCCTTATTCGTCACATCTGAAACATCCACAACCCCAAGAATAATATGAGAATACTGTCTACTTGGAAAATTTTTTCTTACTAAAATTGTAAGAAGAAAAAACACAGCATTTTGAGTAGCAAAATGAGAATGGTGTTTAAGTGTTGTTTACCTATCACTGCCCATCCGGGGTTTGCCGCATAGATCCTTGAAGCGAAATCCAGTTCTTTCCGAACAAGATCGATCCCCGAGTAATTGTTCTCTGCCTCCGTATCTACACCTAAAGTTTTAGCCCTTGTTCTCCTAATCGCTTGCAGTACAACAAGCTGAATCTTCAAACCGAAAACCTTTCTGGGTTCAACCTCAAAGAGCGTCTTGGGTGGTTCCACGCCCATGACAAACGGTACATTGGCAACTTTGTACCCTTTTTGAGCAATGTAAGTGGACAATGGCGTCTTCCCTGTGCGGGAAACCCCGACTAGCACTATATCAGCCTTGCTTAAGTTCTCCGGTAAAGTCCCATCATCTTGCTTAATGGTGAACTCAATGGCTTCGATCCTTTTGAAATATGCATCATTGAGAGTCTTGACCCTACCAGGTGCTCCACGGGTAAGACCTGATGGAGAAACACCTAAGTGAGACGCGATCCCTTCGATGATTGGTCCTAGAATATCAACGGAAAGCACACCCAACTGATCACAAGCTTGTTTTGCGGATTTTGCCATAGAAGGATTAGCTAAAGTGTAGAAACACATTGCCCCTTCCTTGGCCGCCTGCTTGATAATCTCTATAAGCCTCTCCTCATCCTCAACCTGAACAATCCCCAAGCCAAAACCTCAAAACCTAACAAGTTCGGTTTAAAAAATCAAGTTTTTCTTGCTCCTATGATCACTAGTTGCAACTAACATTCACTAAGATATAATCAGATTTCAGAGAATTCGCAATCTTCTTTCCTACGAGCAATTCTACTAGCAACATTCACAGAGATTGCTTCTTGTGATCAGAGAAGTGAAAGTAAGAAGATTTGATGTCTAATACCCAAGAGAAGAGATGGGTATTCACAGAAGACCCACGATTCACCGAGAAATCTTCGAATTGTCCCAAAGCGGCGTTAACGGAGTGCTCTGCCGTCCACCCAGTTCCGTCGGAAACCAAATATATAGACTTTCCTGCCGTTATCTCAACGTCAATCGCCGACGTCTTCTTACCAGCCTCCTCCGTCTGTTTCGCTTCCGTTACTTGACGGCGATGTGTGTCATCGGAACGGTTAATTGGACGGTCAAGCTTACCACCAGATCTTAAAGCTCGGCCCATAGACCAGCGATTCAATTTGGGACTAATCTTCAGCTTCGGACTCGACGAACCTGTCGGAATCGGAGGTTCGGAATTAGCCTCGAGATGGCCTGATGAGACGCCGTCTAGATTCATCCTCAAAGTTGATAACCTTTTTTTTTTTTTTTTGCTTTAACCGCTAAATTGTTTTCATTTTTTGCCATAAAAATTGTCGAAAATGTCCTCACTAATAACTTGGGCTCATATAACACACTCTCATGTCGGTGTGATTTTGGATGTGAATAATTTTTTATTATTATAATTAAAGAGAGAAAGAAAAGAGAGAGAGGGAGATAGAGAGAGATAGAGAGAGTGCAATATTTCTCTTTATTTTAATACTCACACCCAAATATAAACTTATACCCAACATACAACTTTTACACAACTTTTCTATTTTTTCTCTTTTTAATATTACTCACACCCAACCAAAAATTATACTATTGGGTATGGTCTTAGAAACAGAGATTTAGGCTTAAAAAAAAGCCTAAGAAAGTAAATGATATATCAAAAGACTCATGGAAATAATAACACACTCTCATCGTTAGAGCGTACGTTTGACGCGTGTCGTCGACCACAACATCGATATCGAGCCGACAAAAGAAGAAGGAAAAAAAAGTATTAAGCATTCTCTTTCTCTCTCACAATCACACGAATCTTGTGTTCTTTCTTCTCCGTCTCTTTCGATACTTTGCTTCAATCTTCTGACTTTCCTGTTCTATTATACCTTAATCGGGTGTTGCTAAAACATACACACACTATCAGTGTTTTTCGTGCCCTGTCTTCTCCAAGTTTCCGATTGTCTGGTTGGTTGATACATATTTTACTACTTTGGTTTATGATTATCTTTGTTACCGTTACTTTCATCTCTTAACTCAATTCAATTATATAAGTTAGGGTTCTTACTCTCTTCTCTCTCCGCAAACAATTTGGCCTGCTTATATATATAAAAAGGGGTACTTTTTTTTTTTTTTTTTAATTTGAATCATGATCTTAATCGTAGTTTCGTGGGTTTCTTGCTGTAGAAATCTCTGTGAATTCGTCAAGGAATCTGATTCAAGAATCTTGTTTATGTTTCTTCTTTGATTTAGGTTTGTGTGAGAAAACAGAACAATGTATCCTTGTGGTTACGTTGCTCAAGTCACCAACTTGTCTCCTCAAGCCACTGAGAGAGATGTTCATAGGTTCTTCTCTCACTGTGGTATCGTCGAGCTCGTTGAAATCACCGGGTAATTTGTGACAACAATGTTCTTCTCTATCTTGTACAGTGCATTATTAATCTCATTCTTGAATCTGTTTTTTGGATTCTTGTTTAATGTCTCCATCGATTTTTTCAGGTATGAAGGGGATGCATTAACGGCTTATGTAACCTTCAGAGATGCGTATGCTCTAGATATGGCCGTGTTGCTTAGCGTAAGCCCCCTTAGAAATTCCCAATTGAAAATTATCTGCTTGGCATTGATTTTAATGTTTTCAGGGAGCTACCATCGTTGATCAAACCGTTTGGATATCGGTGTACGGTGTCTATTTACATGAATCTAACAATCTCAGACAAGAAGAAGATTATACTGTAACGGTAAAAAACACAACTTACTAGGTTACTTTGGTTATAAGCCAAGTCTTTACTTTAAAGATTCTCAAAATGTTTCTTTATAGGCGACTCGTTCAGACGCGTTCGCTTCATCCCCTGGAGAGGCAGTAACCGTGGCTCAACAAGTTGTAAAGACGATGTTAGCTAAAGGCTACGTTTTAAGCAAAGACGCAATCGGTAAAGCCAAAGCTTTGGATGAGTCTCAGAGATTCTCAAGCTTGGTAGCGACTAAATTGGCAGAGATCAGCCATTACATTGGCCTCACACAGAACATTCAGTCGAGTATGGAAGTCGTGAGATCAGCGGACGAGAAGTATCATTTCTCGGATTTCACAAAATCCGCGGTTCTTGTCACGGGAACGGCTGCTGTGGCCGCAGCCACCATTACAGGGAAAGTGGCTGCAGCTGCAGCTACTAGTGTGGTCAACAGTCGATACTTTGCTAATGGGGCTTTATGGTTCTCAGATGCTTTGGGCCGGGCTGCAAAAGCAGCGGCCCATATGGCTGGAGGAGGAAGCGATTAATAATAATGTAAATCGTATTTGGGCTTCGTTGGAGAACATAAATAAATGTCTACATGTGAGGTTTTAAGGCATAAAGGTGTTGGGGAAAGAAAAGAAAAAACATCATGAAGATATGATTGATTAGTAACGTTACATGTTATTCCCTGTATGTTGAGAAGATAGACAGAAATTATAAAATACTTTATTACATGAAGTGGAATGTATATATCAATATATGAACAATAATAATAAGCCTAAAGCTTTTAAAATATAAAGGATGGGTCCTAGAAACCTCCCTAGCTTGATCCTTTCCTCATTCTTTCTCTCTCTCTTTCTCTTATATGAGAGGTTGATGAGATCCACAAGAAACTCCAAACTCATTTGTTACTGATTTCCAAATTTGTAAACAACAAAGCATTTGTCATCACTATAGTAATTTCACAATCCATTAATCAGTGATCGATTCTTGCTGGAATACATACATGTATGTGTTTGATCCAACAACAGAAGCTGGATTGAGATTAGAGATGGCGTTTCCTCAACATGGTTTTATGTTCCAACAACTTCATGAAGACAACAGTCAAGATCAACTACCTTCTTGTCCTCCTCATCTCTTCAATGGTACTACTCTATCTCTCTCTTTCTCTACATACATAGATTTAAGTCGTCTTGAACTATATGTTGTCTTCTTCGTGTATATAGGAGGAGGAAACTACATGATGAACAGATCTATGTCTTTAATGAACGTGCAAGAAGATCATAATCAAACCTTGGATGAGGAGAATCTATCAGACGATGGGGCACATACTATGCTTGGGGAGAAGAAGAAGAGGCTGCAATTAGAGCAAGTTAAGGCATTAGAGAAGAGCTTCGAGCTTGGGAACAAGTTGGAGCCAGAGAGGAAGATACAACTAGCTAAAGCATTAGGGATGCAACCGAGACAGATTGCGATTTGGTTTCAAAACAGGAGAGCTAGGTGGAAGACTAGACAGCTCGAGAGAGATTATGATTCACTCAAGAAACAGTTTGAGTCTCTTAAATCCGACAATGATTCTCTACTTGCCTACAACAAGAAACTCCTTGCTGAGGTATGTATCTATATAAAGTATGTGTTTACATAGTAATTAAGGTTTTTAATTGATAATTCAACTTTCAGTTCTAATTAAATTCGTTTTTTTTTGGTATTACAAGACTAATAACCAACGTAACATGAATCTAGTAATACAATTTTCTTTTCTGATTTTTGGCTTTGATTGGTACAATTTGTTTAGTTTATATATGTCTGTATATACATGTATATTGTTGTTGTGTGTAAGTAGGATTAAAGTCATTTAATACGAAATGCAATAGATTATTGTTAGGCACATGATCCAACACTATAAGATGTTTGTCAAAAGTCAGTAGGTGTTTTGTTTATTAAATAAAAGATTCTTGATCAGTCTATACATTTAATTAATACATTCCCATATGACTATCAAGTAATTGCATGTGTAGGGAGCGCTAACCAGATTTGACAAGAATACTTTATATACATTGTTGATTTTTTATTAGATAATTTTTGTATTTTAAATTATTTTACTACTTATTAGAATGTAATACTGAAGTTATAATATTTTTAAAATAAATTTAGTAATTAAATCTATAAATTTTACAGTCTTAAAATAATTTAAATGTATATGAAATGAAGGTCTTATAGCTTAGTGTATGTTTAGTCAATTTTTTATTGATTTTTCCGATCTTTTTAACCATATATTGAAATAGGTCTTATAAATTGCTATTTATCAAAAATATTATGACAAACGAAAAAACTGTATTCCATCTATAGTATGTCAACTAATGTTTAAATTTCTAAAACATAACATTTGAATTGTGTGTGATGGTGGTTAAAGGTAATGGCTTTAAAGAACAAAGAATGTAATGAAGGAAACATTATAAAGAGAGAAGCAGAAGCTTCATGGAGCAACAATGGAAGCACAGAGAATAGTTCAGACATCAATCTAGAGATGCCTAGAGAGACCACTACAACACATGTGAACACGATCAAAGACCTTTTCCCTTCATCGATTCGATCATCTGCACATGATGATCAGAATCATCATGAAATAGTTCAAGAAGAAAGCCTTTGTAACATGTTTAATGGCATTGATGAAACGACCTCGGCTGGTTACTGGGCATGGTCTGACCCAAACCACAACCACCACCACCAGTTCAACTGATTCGTGATCCTGAAGCTCGAAAAAAGTCATCACCATCATGACAAATTATCATAATCATCATATCATCATCAGAAGAAGACAAAATTCATCTCTTTGAATTTGACTCTGGAATTATTGCTACTCTTTTCAATTTACATTGGGGCATTTTGTTATCTTTGGGTTTGTAGAGAGCATTGGTGTATAGTGCGAAAATCTGTTGTTGCTTTAATAAAAATCATAAACTTCTTTGCGTTCGGCTCGTAACATTTTTAGATATGGGATCAATCACAGTTAAATATATACTTTTAATATATGTAAATTGGTTCAAAAAAGCATAACCACTCTCTTTTACTTTACGCCTTTACCCTAAGTCCCTAACAAAACACTCCCTCGCTCTAACCAATTGAGTGAGATTAAAAGTTATGATTTTCTGAACTTATATGTCAAATTTTATATTATTTAATTTGATGGGTTGGTACAAATTTATTAAGGATATAAAAGTGAGAAAGATTCATATGCATGTGACTTCGAGTGGGATTCCAGCTCTGTCATTGACATAACATGATCCATGACTTATATTATATGCAAAGGGTTTTTTTAATATATATTTATTATTTGGAGATGTCCCTTTAGTCAAGTGGTTAAGTCCATTTGACTCCGCCTTCCCCACCGGAGTTCGACTCCACTAAGTCGCGTTACCCTGCGTAGTAGGGAGTGGCTATGGATCGGACTTTGTCGATCCAAAGTTGTCAAAAAAATATATATATATATATATTTATTATTTATAAGTTTATCTAATGGATCGACGGAACCATTAGAATTTAAGAAAGAAAAAAAAAAACACTATGCCAGGCGTCACATAGATAGTTGCCGTGCATGTATATACCAAATATTAATCACGTTCAAGCCAAAACAAGGCGTAAAATCACCTCTTCACCTACATAGACGTATGTATTCTTTGTCGTTGGTTCAATATATTTGAGTCATATCTATTCGATGGTAGTATTTTTGTTGTTTTGAGCTAATATTTAATCACCCAGAGTTATCATACATTATCCTACAAAATTTTTACCAATATCAATTTCTTACGGAACATTTCCTACAAACTCTTTCGTAGAAAATTGGTTAAAAATACGTATTTTCTATCAATTTCCTACGTTTCTAACCATAGAAAATCGATGTTTTTTTTTGTAGATGCCATGTCACTATCCTACATTACTTTCTGAGTTTCTTCAAATAATTACGTTATTTATTTTTTTAAATATAATAAATGATAGTGAAGATAGGAAAGAAGAAGATTATTAGAAGCACACGTTCCAAAACACAAAGAAGAACAGACCAAAAAGAAGAAAACAAAAGTGGAAACAGTGTTGAAAGAGTTCACTCTTCTTTTGGTTTCTTTCTCTTTAAGCGGAATCTTGTGTTTTTCTTTTTTTACGGAATTTACATAAGAGGACATTGTTATCCCAAGTTGAGAAGTAGCAACTATACATCAACCCTACGGACTAAATATTTGTGCATACATATATGTGTGTAGTTTCTTGGACTAGCTAGAAATATTTTGGCATGGGGAGAGGATAAGATGAATAAAACTAATATTTAGAAAAGAAAAAAAAACATATATATTCTGGTTAATTAGGTGCACATGATGATTCTATATGCTGACGGGTATCAAACTCATGAATAGTTATATTTTGTATGAAAAACAAAAAGTATCTGTTATATTTCTGTAACTATTTTAAGATACATTGCGAGATAACTAAATTAACAAAATCTCAGCAGGAAAAAAAAACAATATTAGTAGTAATACATTTCATTTAATTGTATTACAATTGATTTATTATTCAATTGATGCAATTAAATATACTATGGGCAAATGATTTTGCTCCCCTCACTTGTAAAGCCAAACTCCATGGGCGAAATTTCAAACCTCCTTTGAACGCATCAAACCCTAATTCTTATTTTTTTCTTTTTAATTTCTCCCTCCGTTTAATCCCAAATCCTTCAAAATGGATTGGATAATGGAAACGTACCTCACTTCCTCAGGAGCCCGCTTGATCCTCCTGTTGAATTTCTTGAGTCTTTTCCCGAAACGCTCAAGACTCTTCCCATTTTTGTAAGCATGCTCGAGCTGAGTAAGCATCATCTCTGATTTGGTTAACAAACTAACCTCGCTTTCCAAGTTCCTGATGCTCGTTTCTTTTTCTTTCAAGTCTTCTTCTATCAAGTCTTTGGCTTCATGTAAGTCCTTTTCAAGTACTTCTTCGTTGAAATCTATCGGACGATGAGCCTCACAGACTTGTTGAAAGACAATAAGTGTGACAACGAGAAGCACAAAGGAGATCTTTGCCATGATTAAAGATTAATTTTCCCTCAACGTAATTTGAAATAATATCAAATTATTGTTTGTTAAAAGGAAAATATTTTGATGAGAGGAGTGAGTTCGTGTGTTTATTCCGTAAAGCATTTATAGTTTTACCTCTGCGTAAAAATAGTATGTAAATGTAACCTTATATTGATGGTCAATGAATGGTTATTGACTTCGCTACTTGATTTTCTTTGGTCACCCATAAAATTCGTAAAAGTGTTAATTGGTATCATCTTATTCAGTATTAATGTCAAATTTCTAACGGTCAAGTATGGAATGTCAAAAAATAAGATTCTTGCTTTCTATATTTAGATATTTAATTTGTTCGTTAGCGGTTATGAGTTAACTGAATTAAGTAAAAAGATTTCAGCAATTAAAAACTTAAGAAATTACGGCCATTTTCTAGTGATTTTGGGTCTAAGACGAAGAAAATAATTTGGACCAGTAATTTTTTTTTTTTGTCATCCGAAATTAATTAGAGATCAAAAGAGCCATTCCTGAGGAATGTTGTTTACAAATATGATATGAAGCGGTTCTGTACGAATTTTTCGTGCCAGATGATCCGCTTTTACATTAGCATTGCGAGAAACTAAAGATAAAGAGAAGGATGAGAATTCTTCCTTGTCGCTCTGGAATTCCTCCAAGTACACTGAAAACGCCGGCCATTCGGTTGGAGAATACACCATCTTCACCAGGTCAGAACAGTCTGTAAGGAACTCTACCTCTTGATTATCTGCACCAATCATACACTTCATCGCCCAGAGAAAGGCCTCGAACTCGGTATGTAATGGAGATAAACTTCGACGGAGATTTGCAGCTCCCATGGTTGGCGGCTTTCCGTTTGATGATGTACATAACCATCCTGTACCGGAGAATTAATAATTGAAATTGTAAATAATCTTATTGTTATTAATTGGAAAGATAATACTAGAAACAGCAATGTCGTATGCACATATGGAAAATAGAAAGGAAAATAAACTAGAATCTTTGAGTCCGATAATATATCTCTAATTAATAAATTACATAATTTAGGTTTTTAATAAAAAAAATTAAAAACATAGTGATATTTTTTTTTTTCACCATTAAAAATATAGTGATAAAAATTTAGGTTTTGTGTATTTCCTAACTAAATTTTAGCATGTGTAATATAGTGTATGGGTTTAATTTCTCATGTCTTCTATGCTATTGAAGATTTTGTTGAAGAGCACATGATTATGTTGAGGAATATATCAACGTAACTGATCAAGTACTCCTGAATTATATTATCTTTAATGTGTTGATCCGTAACTATATTAAATAGAGTCTAAGACACATTATCATACAGAAAGAAAAAAAAAGCACATCGTCATAACCAAATCAGAAATATTCGTTTGGACAATCATTTCATTAGTTTGTATGTTATTGCGATTCACTGCAACTGTTTGTTTTTTTTTTTTTTTTTTGCAATGTCAACTATATGTATCTGCAAACTGTAATCAGTATATATTCTTATGGAAACATATTATGATCTCATAATTCATTAGTAATATTTCATTCAATTGTATTAGATACAATATTATGCAACTAATATACTATGGGGGAGTTATTCACTCCTCTCACTTGTAAAGCTAAACTCCATGGCCAAGTCGAAGCCTCCTTTAAACACAACAAAACATTAATCATACCCTAATTAATTAGATATATTAATAGTTTTTTTTGTCAGTCCCTCCCTCCGTTTAATCCGAAGTCCTTCAAAATCGATTGGATTATGGATACAGGCTTCTTGTTGTTTTTCACAGGTGCTTTCTTGAGGGCTACAACCCTGCTGAAGTTTTTGAGTTTCTTTTCGTAAGGCCTTAAGTCCATATCTTTCTTGTAAGCATTTCCAAGGTCCTTCAACATCACTTCAGATTTGCTCAACGTTTTCACCTCTGATGTCAAACCTTGAATGTTCGTTTTCTTGGCCTTTACTTCTTCCGCGATCATGGCCTCGGCTTTCTGCAAGTCTTTTTCAAATGCTTCACCGACATTTACCACTTTGCGAGCTTCATAAGCATGGAGAAAGGCGATAAGGGCCACAACGAAAAGCACGAAGGAGATCTTTGCCATGATTTTTCTAGCTCAATTTTCCCTTAACAAATCAATTTGAATTTAGATTCAAATAGTTTGTCAAAGGAAAAGAGGTGAGAAGAGATGTTAGTTATTGTGTTTTGTTTTGTTTTCTAGGGTATCTTATATACATTATTTGTGACTACTAATAGTATAGACATATTGATGGTCGAAGAATTGTATTGACTCGGTTACTCAACGTTTTTTGGCTATCCATACAATTCGCAAAATATTTACTAAAGTCAGCTAATCCAAAACTTTTAAATTAAGAGCAAATTCTACCTTCTTTTTTTAGATAATATTTTCTTGCATAAAGGGCTACCACCAAAATAAGTTTCAGTCCTTTCATATATTTCACACAGGAAGATTTGTGTTAGTTAATTTGAAACAATACAAAAATGGCAAAGAATTCTTATGCACTGTCTGGCCTAATTGTGGCCTTAGTCATCGCACTGGTATGCAACATCCATGATGCTGCAGCAAGAGACGTGAAGCTAGTGAAGCTCCGCGATGTAAAACCCGAAACTTTGAAGAAGTTGAACGGAGAGAAAGAAAGTGAAATCATGAAAGGAGAGGAGAAAAACAATCTTCTAAAGGAAATTGAGAAGGCTAAGAAAATGCTCGGAGAATTGAAAACGTTGAAGAAGCAATCAACTGGTGATATGAAAAGCGAATTGAGTTCTTTGGTGAAATCTGAATCGTTACTTAATGAAATTTCAGATTCTCTCAAGAATGGAACGTACAACCATATTAAAGCAAACATTTTTGTTGAAAAAGAATCATTTTTCTACAGAGCATGGAAGGAGAATGCCTATAATTCGGTGGTTCCGGAGAAAGAGAAAGAGTATATGTCTACCATAAAACGCATTGTCAAGTTGTTGAAGAAAACTTAGAAGAAGAATCGGTAAATTCATGATATGTAGTAACCTATAATTAACAAAAAAAAAAAATATATATATATATATATATATGATATTCAAACGCATGTCTATATGTATATATGTATGTATCTTTTATGGTTTTATTGTGTAACAAATATTTTTGTAATTAGTAATTACACTTTCTTCTAGCAAGTTCCAAATTGTATTTGGTCGACAGTACTAAAAATAATTAAATTCTTTCGATTTTTTTTGTCAAATCATCGTCATGGTCAATCAAATGGGCCTCAAAATAGATCCAAACTATTACAATTTATATTTCTCAGATCATCCCATTATTAGATTCTTTTTTTTTTTTTCATATTAAATTCTTTAACTATCAAATTGACAGAAAAGTTTTTATTAATTTTTTTTTCTGGTCGTAAACTTTCCAGAAAGTAACGTTACAAAGTTGACGGAACAATAGAAAACTTAAAGAGCATAGTATGCTTATAATTTTTCCCCGGTTCAACTATCTGCGAAGGACGATATTGGTTATTGATTGCATGTGATTCTAGACATAAACCGGAGTAAGCTTTATGAACCGATCCATTTTTATTTTTTTTCAGCCTTCCTCCGGTATAGAATTTTAGACCAGATTGGTCTGTAGACAGCTCCATTTTTATCTTCGATTTCTTGTCCACAAGCTCCACGACTTTTCTCATCTTATTTGCAACACCATCTAGACAATAATTTATACCATATATACCTGCATTCCAAAAATAAAAGAAGTAATATATTAGTTGATCCAACATAAATGATGTAAAAAATCTGTAGAGCATAAACCGGTTCAATATAGGTCCGGTTTGTTTGAAACTTTTACCCTGTCTTAAGCTCATTGATGTTGTCTTTAATAGGTCGGAGTTGGCGAAAATCGTACGGTGTTCCTTTAACGGCGAGGATTTTTCCGGTTGGAGTGAGATTATGGTCGAGGTGAGCATAACCGGAACCGAGAATTTGAATTTCTTCAGACAAGATATCTTCATTGTTATGACCACCAAGATTCCAATAAGAACGATGAACCAAATTCACCGGAGTTGCTTTCTCTTTAGCCTTTGCTTCCATCACCATTTTCAATTTGTTATCTCCTACCAGCTTATACGTCACAGTGACTTCTAGTTTCCCTATTGATTAACATTGATCTCCTTTCTCATTTTCAAAATTTTATGCATATAAAAAAGATAGTAGAATAAAGTGTTTAAGAATAAATAACCTTGATGATCGCCATCAGGACTTGTGTATCTGAAAACAATATAAGGTTTTTTGCCATTATTGTTGTGTTTCTTAACTGTCCAAATCACATCGCCAGACTCTTTCGTCACACCTGATTAATTGTAGAAAAGTGTTAATTAATTATGAATTTATGATTTATGAAGTTCCACTTAAATAAATAGAACGTAATTAATTAAAACAAATTTACCATGTTTGCCATCGTTTACAACGGTCTTTTCCCTTTTATTGGCTACACGTGCCAACGTCACTCCACAAAATACCGTATCATTCTGATTACAAAGCTAAATCTCTTTTCAAGATCTGATACCAAAATTAATTTTCTCTAAAAGTAAAGTTTTTTACTTACCATGTAGTCATTGACGCTGTCATATCCAAGAACAATGTCCTCTATTTTTCCTGGAAGTTACTCGAATTTCACTGAATAATGTATAAGAATACGTATAAAACGATATATATATATGATTGGTCCACTAACCATTTTTATTGGGGAAAAGGAGAGACATGATAGAAGCACCCCGGTTTGTAAATTTGGCCGTTAGATTCCCCTTCTTTAGCTCGTGTACCCCCAACGTCTTCTTTTTGTCATCGTCATCACCACCATCATCTTTATTATCATCATCATCATGGTCATCGTCTCCATCATTATCATGATCATGATCTTGATCATTATTATCATTGTCATGATCATTATCATCGTCATGGTCATCGTGATCTTCATTATCATCGTCGTGATCATCATCATTTACCTTACTAATCGAGCGATCAGTTACTCCTCCTTTGACTTTCTTCAGATCAGTCGATTTCTCTTCGTTGTTGTCAGCGAGTGAGACACTAACCATGACTCCTATTGTAACCAAAAGAACCAAACACACTAAACTTGAAATCCTAACCATTTTTTCAGTTTTTTTTCCTTCTTGTATGTGTTTGTAAAACTGTGAGTGACTCTAATTTCTTCGTGGATATTTATAGGCGGTGTATTTTTCTTAGTCCTATTTTCTTTTGGAAGAAACACACTATTTCGAGTATTACTAGTCACCATCTTTTTGTATTATATTTTGATTTATTCAAAATTTAAATTACTAAATAGTATATATATATATATATATATACTGACAACATATCTAAATGAGTTTAATTTGTTAAAAAAAAAAAAACTTTAAGTCGCTGATGAAAGAAAAAATAATAATGCTGAGATCTTCTACAATATAAGCAATATCTAAGTGTTGTTTATTTTTTTATATTGTAGTGCGGCATGAATCACCACAACACTTATTGGTGCTATTTGTAATTCTTTTTCTTGGTTGTGCGGCTTGTGCCTTTTGTCATTTGCACTCAAAATTTTGATAATGTTGACAAATATGAAACTGATAAATAATTAGATTTGAGCCTACTAATAAGGTTTTTAGCTTGTCGGTATTATCAGATAAAAAAAAAAAAAAGTAAGATCTTCGACGATTTCGGCAGTATGCCAGTATCCATGCTCGATATTCTTTTTGTTTAACAATTAAAACTTGCGCTGCATGTCACTGAACACTAATCACTATAGATTTTTGTTAAAACTATTATTTGGTACATACAATTTAAAAGAAAAATAATATGCTGGTAATAAAAAAAAACTTGTTGTATGAATTTATTTGGTTTATGAAACTATACGTTGAAGTGATTCTTAAGTCTTTGCTATATGTATTTCGTCAAGTCATCGTTTTTGAAATTAATTACCTTAGTTCTAATTTTCATATATCCTTGCAAAAAAACAGATTAACGAGCACAACAAAACATACACAAACAAATTAGAGTTACAAAGTATCAAGCCGTTCGCATATATTCTTTACACAGAGACTTTTTCATAAATTAGAATAATTTCCATTTTACCCCATGATTTTGTCAGTTCTTATATAGATAGGCCTAGATACAAAGAGAAAAAAATTAGTAGTGAGTTATATTTTTTAGCATGCTTTTCCGACCCGGCAATCCAATGCTCCGGCGTATTTGGTAAGCTTAGAAACGGCCACACCATGTTTGGGCTTAATCATCTGTTGCCTAGAGTGCGAACACTTGAAATGAGGATTTCCAGATTGTCTGAAATATGCATTGTTCATGAATACATCTTTCTCGGATCTCCAGTTCCAGTTTTTCCATTCACTTTCTGAAGCATAATCCCTCTTTGTCACCTATATACACATGTTTTCTATTAGTTTCAAAACTCAAACTTTGATTTGATATGTGCACACTCAAATCATTTTGAAATGTTTTGTACCTCTCTGTAGTGTTGTTTGTGAGGAGGAGCGATGAAACGGTTTCCATGGCTGAGAATGGTAGGACCTTGGCTACCACCGATCGCGTAAAGCTCCCAATGAGTGTAGTCATTGTTGACAACGTGGACGAAACCCCATCGGATCCTAGGCATCCTCTGGACAAGTCCTTTACCGAAATGGTTGTAAGCCACTGTGACTTGCATCTTCTTGTCATCCATGTTGTTGTCTTGTGCACCAAGCAACATCACCTAAAGACATAACAAATTCCTTTGAGTTGTCATTAATAGTATAACGATCGAGTTAATTAGGTTGTGAAAGGCTCACATCGTTGTGGTGGGTGAAATGAGAGTTAGAGATGGTGATTGCGGTGGAACCCATTATAGCGTCGATGAGGCCATCTTGGCATTTAGACATAGAAATGTGGTCAAGCCAAATGTTTGTTGCCCCGAAGATAGAGATACCATCTCCATCAGCCCGTCCTCTTTGCCCAAAGTGGTCAATCGAATCTCTTATCATACCACCACTGCTTTGCACGATGTGGTGGATGTGAAGCCCATGGATGATGATATTGTGCACATACTGCATCGTAATACCGGCACCATATGCGATGTGCACGTTAGCGCCACGAGCATCGATTGTCTTGTGACTAGCAATCATCAGCTCTTGGTTTAACCTAATGCTCATATCGTGCTTAAAAATGATCCATAGAGGTTCTTTCTGGATCACAGCGTGACGTAGTGTTCCAGGTCTAGGGTTCACCATATCATCGTCTCTGGGGCTCGTGACCACATATATACGGCCGCGTTTGCCTCCTGTGGTCCTGTAACCAAACCCACGGACACAATGAACGAGCTTCTTGCGACGCCTGGCCCAATCGGGCTGGCAACGCCAGCATTTATCAATCGGGTTGCTTGCGGTGCAAGGTCCCTTTAGCTTGCTCCATTTTCCTTTTCCTTTTCCCTTGCCCCTACCGGTTAGGCTCCGCCTTGTGCTGTTTGTCGGACTAGAAATCATCTCAATGACGTCTTCTTCCTCGGAAGCGACCGCCTTCTCTTCCTCGGTCCCCTCGACATCAGTCGAGTTGCTGAAGATATACACCAAACCAAAACCATCATAAAACCAACATCCTTTTTACAAACAAAAAAATGGAGGAAGAAGAATTTTAAACAACACATTCTTTTAACTTTCAAACTGAAATCTATAATTTTCAATCCTTGTTAAAACTTCTACCAATAAAGATTTGTATTTTAATTTAAATGAAATCAGAATAAACTAATCCAAACCGTTCTCTCTTCATCACAATCAAGCCTGGTTAATTTCAACGAGACAAATCGGTAGGATTCAAAAGCAATGCATATATATAGAGATAATATTTGACTTACTCGTAATGACGCTCGTGGAAGTGGTCGACGATCTCATAAGGGTCGGGATGGTAAGCCATAAGGGTATGTTTACGAGCTTCATTGGCCTTATTTACCCAATAATCATCGGTCTCATCAGCAACATTGGCTCGTATGGTCGGAATCAAACTGGCAATACAAAACACACACACTAATTTGAAAAGCCTAGCTGTCTCCATTTTATTTGATTACCCCTTTTTCACAGAAACAGTTTAGATCAGTTTTTTTTTTTTTTTTTTTTTTTAAGGGGTAATCTTTTTATATATTGAAATATATGTGGAGAACTGCTAAGCTTTAAACATGGCTTTAGGTCGTTATTTCTGTTTGACCTAAAAGCCTTTTTTGGTAGATGAATCGTATTGCGAAGTTTGACAAACATGAATGTTGGTGTTTAAATAATGATAAAAACCTGATGAAGAAAGTTAACTTCTATATTTAGAAAGTTTTCCCGTTATGTATGGAAAGCCACCATAATTTACTTGTGGACAGCTTTCTTTGTTTTTCTTTAATCAATTAATTTTTCATCTCCTTGTTTTTTGTTCGTTTCCTATATTTGGATATTTCTATGGAGAAAGTAACATTATGGTTTCTCAATGTTTTCGACCAATTTTAGCAACAACACAGTTCCGTTTACATTCTCATAATAAGCATCTAAAGTAGTGAAAATATCAGACTGCGTGTAATATAAATTGTTACCATAAGGGATTGAAGGTAAAAAAAAAGTTGTTGACTAATCGTTTACTATATCACTCAGATACTCACTTAAATAGTCGGCATAGTTGTTATTCATTATACAAATCACATTCGATTATTCATTACTAGAGTAAACGATCAAAGTTAGAATAAATGAGCAAACAAACCGAGTAGACAACTAATTACATGGTTTACAGACTAATTGATTAATTAAAAACTCAACCGATTAGTCAATAAACCGAAACATTAAACTGTAAACCGATTGATGAACCGTTCGATCTATCGGTATAGTTGAATCAATTTTCCACCAAATATAGAACCGGTTTATTACTCGTTCCAAGACAAAACCGAGCCACCAAAATAAAACGATTCTCTCATTTTAGGCGTGGAAAGAGAAAAGGGTAAGTAAGTAAACGACGCCGCTTGATTGCCACGTAATAAATGAGAAGAGGCATATAATAGATAATTATTCTTGGTCAGTGGGGAATAAATATATGGACGGCTATGGATAAGGAATAGTGAAGGAAGCGAGTCTCGATCCAACGGCTGATATAATTTTGCTTGATAAACAGGAAAAAATCTCCTTCTCTGATAATTCGGAAATAAAAAAGAAAATTAGGGTTTTCTTCAGTCTCTCATATAGACAGACGCCCACATCGTCTTCCAGCTCTTCCTCTTTCGATTCGACTCATAAGAACATCCTCCTCCTCCTCCAACTTTCTCAGATAAGCAACAATGGTGAAAGGTCCTGGTCTCTACACCGAAATCGGCAAAAAAGCCAGAGGTACCTTATAATCTCTCTCCCTCGGCTTCTCTTTCATTGCGTTGAATTGACTCTGTTTGCGGCGTAGACGATCTGATGGATGGATGCTAATTAGGGTTCCGTTCGGTGTTCCAATCTGGATTTGGTTTAGATATTCCTGAAATTTCTTAGGATTTTGCATGCGAAGATTTCGTGTAGAGATTCACAAGTGATATTTGTAATTCCTTGGGTTCAAATGTCTCCGTCACTCTCGTTCAAGCTCTACCTTTCTCGATCTTATTTTGTGTTATTCGAATTTGATCCCCGATTTGTTTATCTGGCTTCTGTGATTCTCTTTCGTCTCTCACCATTTAAGTCGTCTCCTTTGAGAGAATGTTTTGTATGTCTATAAAAATGTTGCTCTGCTGTGTATTTTCAGATCTTCTGTACAAGGACCACAACAGTGACCAGAAATTCAGTATCACCACTTTCTCTCCTGCCGGTGTTGTAAGTTTCTTCTATTCGACTTTCTTCTCTTTTTAATAATCTTCATTCAAGTATCAGCTCTCTATTGTTATAGTTGATTAGGGTTTTAATGGAATGTGGTCTTCTCTATCTATTCTGTTTCTATTGATTAGCTTGTGAGTCTTCTGTTGAATTAGCATTTAACAAATTTTTTACGTACTTCTTTTATTTCATGTGATTGTGAAAATTGAATTTCTCATAATCTGGCTCTTTCTTTGTTTACCCTGTAGGCCATCACCTCAACCGGAACTAAGAAAGGTGACTTATTGTTGGGAGATGTAGCTTTCCAATCGAGGCAAAAGAACATTACTACTGATTTGAAAGTTTGCACTGATTCTACTGTATGTATATCTGTGTACCCAATTTCATCTCTTATTTTTGCTGTATACGAGTTATAGTTTTCTGTTTAGTTGTTGGGCTACTCACCTTTCAACTTTGTGTGTATTGGTTTCAGGTTCTGATCACTGCTACGGTTGATGAGGCTGCACCTGGACTGAAGTCAATCTTCAGCTTCAAGGTTCCTGACCAAAATTCTGGCAAGGTATTTTAATAAGCTACACAAGAATCTATCTTTTATATAGTTTTAAAGTTTGATCAGTTGGGCATAATTTGGCTTCTCTAACTTTAGATTCTCGTGGTGTTCGACAGATTGAACTTCAATACTTGCATGACTATGCCGGTATCAGCACGAGCATGGGATTGACTCAGAACCCAACTGTCAACTTCTCCGGTGTGATTGGCACTAATGTCTTGGCTGTTGGTACTGATGTTTCATTCGACACCAAGTCTGGAAATTTCACCAAGATCAATGCTGGTTTAAGCTTCACCAAGGATGACTTAATTGCATCCCTTACTGTGTAAGTGATTTATAGTGAGAAATTTGGATTAAAGATGGGGTTGTCAGTGTTACAATTTAATATCTTTTGATTTCGTTGTTTGTTAGGAATGAGAAGGGCGATCTATTGAATGCATCTTACTATCACATTGTGAACCCGCTTTTCAACACTGCGGTTGGAGCCGAAGTGAGCCACAAGTTCTCTAGCAAGGACAACACCATAACTGTTGGAACACAGCACTCGCTTGACCCCTTGACCTCTGTGAAGGCTCGTGTCAATAGTGCGGGTATTGCAAGTGCGCTCATTCAACACGAGTGGAAGCCCAAGTCGTTCTTCACAATCTCTGGGGAAGTCGACACAAAGTCCATTGACAAGAGTGCTAAAGTTGGATTGGCTCTCGCACTCAAGCCTTGAAACTGAGATGAAAGAAGAAGTTGCCATAGCTTTTTAACTAGTTTCTTTCTACGTACTCTGTTTTTCTCTGCTTGGTTCATGGTTTTAAGGGGGGTACTAGTACTGATCTTTCCCATTTCTTTGTCGGATTTGTAGAAGAATAAAAAGGTTGAAAACGGATCATCTTGAGATGGTGATGATGAAACGATAAGATCCTATTCTGGCTTCTCTTTTTATTTGCCATGTCATAACGAAAATTGAATATTCAGATGTGAGTGTGTGTTAAGTAAGTGGACATGAATCCAGAGAGTTGAATGATATGGGCTTTTCAATTCAGGCCCACGTGTTCATCGATCAGGTTAGTAGGAAACAAAAGGCTCATTATTATTATATTAGTTCATTGCCACAAAAGTCCGCCGATTGAAAGATTTGATTTTTTCTCTCGCACACTGAAATTTATATTGACTTTTAAGAAAGATACACAACTCACAGAAGAGATAGGTACAAACATAAATACATAATGACAAATCACAATCAGTACACCATTATATATTTACCTTTTTTTAATAAAAAAGATACAAAAGTATTAAAAGAGACGACCAAAACAATTTGACTTGAGTGATTAGGAGGAGGAGGCATTGTTGGCCTGTAATAATCCATTTCGAATCTGCGTTGCCACGTCAGAGACGGCGCCGGGACCGTGAGGGATAAACACGGCCGAGGCTTTAGAAGTTGCTCCGATATCTCTCATTGTGTCAAAGTACTGAGTCATCATCACCATGTCCAACACATCCTTGGCTGACGTCCCTGGCACGTTTCCTGCGAACCCTAGAACACTGTCTCTCAGACCGTCCACGATCGCTTGTCTCTGCCGAGCGATTCCGAGTCCCGACAGGTACTTTGACTCTGCTTCACCCTCTGCTCTTTTGATCTGAATGATTTTCTCAGCCTCTGCTTTTTCGTTCGCTGCCACTCTCATCCTCGCCGCTGTAACAACAATTAATTAATTTGAGGATTTTGCCCAATATTTGTCCAGACTTTGATATAGGGTTTTATGATTTGAGGACTTACCGGCGTTGATTTCGTTCATGGCACGTTTAACCTGTTGATCAGGCTCGATGTCGATGATTAGGGTTTGAAGGATCTCGTAACCATAAGCAGTCATGGCTTTGTCTAGCTCTTCTTCCACAGATTTGGCGATTTCATTCTTCTGCTCGAACACATCGTCCAAGTTCAGCTTTGGAACACATGCTCTGATCACTGACAAACAAAATCAACATCAATAACTACTTAAAGACTTTCCGCATGACTCTGTATTGAGAAATGAAGAGTAGATATATATACCATCAAAGACGTAGGCTTTGATTTGGGTGGTTGGATTGCTGAGTCTGTAAAAAGCATCACTTGCCTTGTCAACCAAGACTCTGTATTGTATGGATGCAACAACTGTCACAAACACATTGTCCTGAAACATAATCATAGATGAATTAATATAATGATCCACTAGAAGAAGATTTGCATATGTACGTTCAATGTTACTTACCTTTGTTTTGGTTTCACACTGAACATCCAGTTGCTGAAGACGGAGGGTCAGTGTACCGGCGACGTAATCACCGATGACCCAGGGAACAAACTGGAGACCTGGATTAAGTATTTTTTGGAATTTGCCAAATCTCTCCTTGACCGCAACATCTGATTGCTTCACAAGCACGCAACAGAAAAGATTTCCCATTAATTCTTCAGAACTAAGAACAAGAAGCAAGAAGATTATGAATCGACTATAATTCTTAATTTGTCTCTGTGTAAGTTTGTGGAAGAGAAGAAAGTCGCAGGAGTGTTATATAGATAAAAGGATAAAGATGATCATGTCAAGTTGTCATGTAGTTGTACTACTCCTCGGAAATTTCCTATTTATTATTCAATAGTGGCATTTTCATTGAAAAGTCAAATTGTTTATATCTTGGAGAAAAATCAATATTAAATTTGATAACTATTTGACATTTCTTAACAATAACTTTTTTATTTTTAATTCTTTTTGGTTTAGGCGAAATATTATTTTCATTATATACCTCAAATTATACAAACCACAGATTTAAACTATTTGCTAGTATTTTAAAATCTCTAATTTCCGTGATTGGTATCTTCACCTAACATTAATGCAAATTATGTTGGTCTTATGATTAAATGACAGTTTTTACTCGGGAGATTTGTTTTACGAGTATATAAAAAAAAAAGAATCGAATATACTTCAATCGAAAAGAAGAGGATAATTGTATCGTTGAATATACTACAGAGCCCTGTCAGACACCAATAATCAAGAGTTATCTAATAGGAGTAGTAGTATATACTTTTTGATTGAGTAAACGAGTTGTCTATACATTGTACGTATGTTCTTATATATATTTTAAAATGTTCAAATTCAACAAAATGTAGGAGAATAAAGTGGAGTGGGCTTTATTTATATTAGTCTGCAGCTGTTATGTGTAGATTTTCGTAATGATATGCTAAAACAAGATGGTTCTAATTCTACTAATATATATCTAATTTTTGTTTTAATATTTACTTTCTGTTTGCTGCAAAATGGTGGAGGTGGTAACCGAAATTATGGAAATTTGGAACGGTCCATTATATTTAAATTACATAGTTGAATGTTTTATAATTATGATGTTAATATACAAATCTTCAAGTTTGGTAGTGTGCAAAGTATATCTTACTGTAATCCTTTCTTTATGAATGGAAAACCCAGATGACCAAAAATAAATCATCAAGTTACACAATAAAAGTTAAATCAAACAGATTACAAAAAAAAGTAAACAAATTATTTGTATATAAAAGTCGTTGGTCCTTGCGGCTCTCGCATGTTTGACAAAGAATGTGGATAACTTGTATGCGAGTATAAAAGTTGCACGTAAGAAAAGTTGTCAATTCTTTTTGGTCGTCTAAATAATATGACATATTCTTTTATATTTTAATTATTCGATTATCGACAAGTAGATAAGTCCAAAAGATCAAAAAGAAGAAAATTTTCAAAATGTCAAAGCAAAATGTCTCTCACCCACATTTTCCAATACCATTCTTGATATCTTACATTGAAGAAGTGGTTGCGTGCTGGTGAAGCGATTCAAAACGACTAATACATAATGACAATATTACCCTAGCAGAGATTTGTTCAAGAGTACACAACAGACGAAGAAACATGAGGTCACATACACAACTTCGGATCTTCTTCGGAACAACCTTAATTTCCCTTCTTAAAATCGGTTAAGAATATCGGTTTTACATCGGTTAAAAAAGACGTTTGCTTGCGTCCACAATAAAGAGCCAATCTAAGTAGTTGCACCTTTAGGCTTAGGAGACGGAATCTGATGACGATAAGGCGACGAACCAGCTTGACCATGAGGACTAGACAATGTCCGAAACACTGGTGGTTGCCCGTTTCTTGATCCGAATCCACGACCCGATGACCCAGACACAGACCCAGCTTTCAAACGTTCAGCTTGCATAGTCTGGAAGTAATAAGAAGCGCTAGCCATGTCCTTGAGGTGTGGGAGAGGCTTAAGGACTTCCACCACTTCACTCATTTTGGGTCTTATTTTGGAGTCACGGCTAAGGCATTGTGCTGCAAGCTGAGTCACTTTTTGTGCTCCCTTAACTGAGAAATGACCCTCTAGCCTCGGATCAAGTAACCCGGTAGAATCTTCTTTTGTCCAGGAGATGCGGTCTCGCCCATTCAACGAGGTTGTGTTCACCATTTGGTCGGTTTTTGTCCATAGATCTTCTACCAGTCAGCATTTCAAGAAGAACCACACCGAAACTGTAGACATCGCTTTTTGATGTCAAGTGACCTAAGGAGTAAAAAGCGGGTAGTAGTTATATATAATCTCAAACCACAGAAATTTAATCCACGTTTCATCATAGTACTACTTTGCACCAACCAAAGAAAATTAATGAACATTGATGCAAATATCAAATGGGCAGTGTCCAACTCGGTTTCTAACTATCTATATTCAACCATAGAGAGAAGAAACAAGCAGAGGAGTGGATGAAATGCAAAGACCAAAACAAGACTTACCGGTCATTACATACTCGGGAGCAGCGTAACCATAAGTGCCCATGACGCGAGTAGACACATGAGTTTTGCCTTCATCAGGAGCATCTTTGGCAAGCCCAAAATCTGATAATTTAGCATTGTAGTCCTGGAATTGGGAAATGGTAAGAGTTTAGAAGCAAAGAAACAGACATGTATATAAGATGTTGATCCCTTGATTTAAAGAAGAGGAAAACATACTGCATCCAGTAAAATATTTGAGGTTTTGAAATCTCGATAAATAACCGGCTTTAAAGCTTCTTCGTGAAGGAAACTGAGACCCTTTGCAGCACCTAAGGCAATCTTCATCCGAATTGACCACGGAAGAGGCAACGACCCTTCAACACGAAGCAAAAGTTAATTCACAAAGAGAAAGATTTAACATTAATTATAACTGAAAAGATAAATCATACAAAATCTTGAAACTAGAACAATGAATGTAAGGGATTTAGTTATTGCTTTCTGGGTCAATATAGTCAAGTAATAAAAACCATCAAAGATGGCAGTAAAAGGTACCAACTTTAACAATTTCGAGTAGAAAGGTTCCAACATTAACAATATAAAGTAGAAATGTTCCAGTTTTAACTATATAGAATCTAAGGGTTCCAACTTTAACAATATGGAGTAGACATATCTTTAATTGTAAACACTTGTTATCTATATCGAAAACAAAGAAAGGCAAGAATTTAACTTCACAGTATAGTTAGAATATGAAGATTGTAGTAGTTTACTTACTTCTGAAAAGGTGATTCTCCAAACTTCCTCGAGGCATAAACTCATAAACCAGTAGCCTTTGATCATCTTCGATACAATAACCCACCAGTTTAACAAGATTGGGATGAAGAAGATTACCGAGATAATTAATCTCAGCCTGCAAACACACAAACAGAAACCTTTAGTTGTATGCTCAGTTGTAGGAAAAGATAAATGGAAAAGAAGAGAAGGAAGGATCTTACAAGCCACTCTTTATGACCCTGAAGTCCATCAGGATTTAAGGTTTTGACGGCTACAGTGAGCCCAGTACCAGGCTTAACAGGAGCAGTTCCGTTCTCCTCGACCCACCCTTTGAAGACACAACCAAAGCCACCTTCTCCGAGAAGACTTTCGGGTCTGAAATTTCTAGTAGCCAACTTGAGATCAATGAAAGTAAACTTCTTTAAGTGAGAATAGATCTTAAGTTCTTCACTTATCATTGGAGTGGACAAAGAGCTTTCTGCATTGCTAGTTGTAGTGGTAGAAGAGACAGGGCCAACCGGTTGGTCATTTGATTTCACAATTGCGGACTGACTTCCCGCTGTTCAGTCATCACAAAACCATTCAAATTGTCAGTTCTGCACAATAATGGATCTGACTAAGCACATGATATCCTATCGAAATATCACCTGAGGTATACATTATAGTTTGAAGTAGCTTAAATTCTCAAAGTTAGGTAAACCAACCACAATGACATTAAAGGTTTTGTTCAGTTTGTCAAATGGGGGGAAATAAAAAAACCCTAGATGGAAACATAAGTCTTGTGACAATTATAGAAACAAAAATTAAGAAGATTACATCTCAAAAGGAAGGGTTTTTATTAACTCAACGGCACAGAAAATCCTATATTGAGAACAAATTAGACCAGAGAAGAGAAGACCCAGAAGAAGAAACAATACCAGTGCTTGTAGAGAGACTGAGAGAGCTATCAACGTCTGAGGCTGAAGAAACGCAACAGACTATAAACCTAAATTTGACCCAACACCCATTAGCTTCTTCTTCTTCTTCGTCTACATGTTCAGTGTTTCTGACATTGTTCTTCTTCTTCCTCCTCCTCTTCTTCTTCTTATCACTCTCATTAGATGTCTTCGATTGCCAATTCTCCATAACTTTGACAGAATCTAAACCCATCTCTCCCAAAACCAGTTAAAACGGAGAACAACAACAAAAAGGATGGAACTTGATCAGACCACGAACCAGAGGAAACAAAAAAAAACCAAGCGAATTAGAGAGAAAATAAGAAGAATCCCAGTAAGAGGAAATTTTGATCTTGGCGAGAAGAAGAAGTAAGATTCACTTAGGAAAAAAAAAGAGGAGGTCGCGTAACTTTAGTCAAAAAGGGAATTTGATGTCTGTGGAGAGAGAAGACGAAGATGAAGAAGAAGAAGAAGAGACGGGCAAGGCGGGCAAGAGAGAGAGAGAGAGAGAGTGATTGGGGCAATGTAATGTGTTTGTTTGCTAACTCTCAACAGTTACAAAACGCATTTTTCGTAGCTCCCTAATACTACAAGACTAATTTTCATTTATTCACGGACAAATATTCCTATTGCATTACCTACATTTTTTTTTTAATTTATATATTAAACACTACAGTCTATCTCTCCTTAATTTGGTTATTTTTATAACTTTGTCAATGATTTTGAATTTTTGTTTTTGTGGTCATTATTTTGTTTTTGTTCTTTTTCAATTTATAGAATAAGTCGTTTATTTTACAAATAAATTTCCAATCAATTACTTAGCTTCTTAAAATTTGTATTTCCATTTAATGTCTTGAGCTTTTTCCCAAAAATAAAAAATCCATTGAGATTTACAGAGACGTAAGATTTTTTTTTTTTTTTTTAAGATTTAATTTATCGGTGCTTCTTTTCCTAATCAAATTGCTTTTCATTTTCACTTTTGTTCTTTTTCGATATAAGTGGAGCTAAAAACATTATATTAAGATTTGTTTTACGGTAAATGACAAGATAATTGTTTTAGATTCGGTGATTGTATATCCGATATTAGTTTTACTTTTGCAGATTATAAGTTCCAACAAATCCGCAACAACTTTATTGTAATAGATGATAGAAATACACAGTGCTTACAATAAAACTCATCATTTCTTGAGTATAATTATTTACCTATTACAAAGGAAAAAAAAATGATAGAAAATATTAGAGAACGTCACGGGTGACTCATTTATGTTCCATGTAATCATATCTTAATTCAAACCCAACTGCAGGAGTCCCTTTCCCAAATTGACTATATATACTATATAGTATACAGATAAAAAAACTAAATATTTTAAAATCATGCTGAAGAAAAAATAATAATAGCTATATTCAAAATCATTTTAATAGCAAATTTTGGGAGGAAAAGAAAATTAAAAAAATAAGAATGATCTGACTAGAACTGCACAAACAAAAGCATGAGCAAAATATAAAAGTGGAAAAAAGAAAGTAAAAAAGAATTAGCCCCTTCCATTAGAAGAAGAGTTCTTATAGTTGTGGAAGAGGTTAACTAGACGCTCGAGCACGGCAGCGCTTTTTGAGAAGTAACCGGAGAACCCAACCGGAGTGGAGGCCGGAGGGAAGTCTTCCGGCGGCATAGCAAACGGACGAACCATTTTCTCCATTGTCTCGAGGGTTAAACAAGAACCAACTTCTTGAAGCCTCTCTGGTCCCATTATCGGAAGTGTGTGTTCCCTTAGCAATGTCTCTGCCTCGTCGTCATTATTCTGCATCATGTTGTCACAACAATATTACCAAAACTTATCATTTGTTCCTCTAATTAGTTAAAGAAAAACGATAATATCCTTTGCTCTCACCCCTAAGGGAGATAAATCAGCGCCACGGCTAAATGTAAGCTCAATGCGGAATCTTTTCGGGTCTTCAAGTGACACCTGCATCCGTTTTTAATGACTAGAGTCAGACACAGAGATATATTTAAACATGTGTGAGAATGAAAGGGAATTTAATGTTAAACCTCGGTGTTCTCAAAGAGCCTTAGGACAATGTAACTCATGTAATCGAGTTCCTTGGTTTTACACAGACGCTCTAAGGCGTTTTGGCAAATCAGGCTTTCTTCTCCTAGGAGTGATTCATCAAGGTTACAGTACCGAAGGACGTTCATGAGCGAATGAATATGCGATTCCTGTCCCAAATCATACCAGGCTTAAACTTTATAGTCTCACTCAAAGACACACTTAAACGAGCAATGGAGAAATTAAGGAGGAAACTTACAGATGTGAAGTAAAGTCGAGTCCTCACATGACGTTCAGGTGTCTTCACATTTGCATACCTGAAAGGGAAATGAAAATCAATTAGTAGATTACACTTAGTAAAATTCAGCCTCCTAAAAAACTGTCTATATAAGAGCGACAGAGAAAGCAAAGAGTCTATTACTTTGGATCTAATCGGTATTTGGTTTCTTTATCATCATCTTCATCTTTATCACCTGTGCCAGGTCGTCTCAATTCATCGCTATTGATAAAAAACTTTGGTTGACTATTTCTATCTTCCTTTTGCGAGGCAGATAATGACAAGACTTGTTCTTGGCTTTCTTTCAGCTCAGCAACGCTCAGGGCTTCTTCTCGAGTATTCCTCAAGTCTATCAAGATTTTCCCCATTAAGCGCCGAGCAATCTTTGGTTTTAATGGAAAAAAAATATAGATATGATAAGTTGTGAGATCCTCTGGGAAAAAAAAAATCTTATAGAGGAAAATAACTACTCTAAGCTAGAAATTGTTACCTTTGAACCGATTTTAAGCTTTTGTTGCGGATTGATGCCATACTCATTTGGGATTACACCATCTGCAAGTAACTGCAACCACATAGCACATAACTTAGTTATAAGCGAGAGAGTCAACCATACATTTTAAAGATGTAACAAGAATGATCATAGTTTCAATACAAACTATTATAAAAGTTTCAGGAAAGGGAAGGAGGAATTTCAGTTTGTTTACCTGTGCTACTTTGAAGAGTTCATCTAATCCTTTTAGATCGAGATGGGAATTATGTAACAGGTCGTACCTGGTAAGAATAACACATTACAGCATATTCAAAAACGAGTAACCAAAGCTAGGTGTAAATCTAGAGATACACCAAAAACACCTAACAAAGAACTTACTTGCATGAATCGTAAACATCCGGGATCTGTGTGATGTCAAACCGGCTGCAATTAAAATTACCTATCAGTGCTACTCACAAAACTCTACCGGGAAAAAGATGAAAATTTGAGAAGCATTAATGCTAAATCCAAAGATGAAAAACTTACTCTTTTCTTTCATTGTAGAGATCCCTAGCGAGTTTAATCCACCGAGCAAACATCAAAAGGAACCCTTCGCTACCACATGGTAATCCAGAAGCAATCCGATCACTGTCAATGTTTGTCTTGCCAAGGGCCTTTGCTTGATCATATGGAGGAATTATATCATATGGCTCAGTGAGGTTCTCGTCTTCATCCATTGCAAGTAGTCTTACTTGTTCAGTCACATTCTTAGTTAATTTCACCTAATTATATAGAAAGAAGAAATTCAACGGATAAGAAATCTTTTTCTGGATTCCAGTAAATCACTTGTTGTGCAAACAAGTGGTACCTGGGAGAAAATGGAAGAGAAAAGCAACCACAAAATGAGATCAATGTGCTCAGTGCACTATGCAATATTACGTTGATATGCAAACAAACTCAAAAATGGTTGGTGATCTGCTTCACATTAGCAATAAACTACTGTTAGATGGAAAAGTGTGAGTACCAATTCGCGTAGGAGTTCATGAGCGTTGGGAGGAAGTCCAGCTCCGTCAGTCATCCAAGGGAAATCTTCAGAGGAGTCATGGTCGTCTATCATCTTTGTGCCAGACGTTACAATCTCATTCAATCTAGCCTGCAGGGCAGGCAAGAAGAGAAATCAAAACTGTTAAACTATTACAAAAGTTATTTGAGAAGGGGTATTTCAGAAGACTCTACTTATTCCTTCGAGAAAGATAGTAAGGTCTTTCAGAAACAGTTTCGATCTTGTGACCACAAGCAAATCATTCCAACGAGTTGCGAAAATGTGATTGATGCAGAATAAAAATGAGTCATAAACAGAGGGACAAACCTTGGCCGCTTCCATTTCAATGCTGGCATTATCAAGACCATCCAACATGGAAGAGTCCTTGCTAACCAAAGAAACCTAGAGAAAGAAGAAAATAAATTAATGACCATATGAAATTGCAAAGCACCACGAGTCCTCAGTGAGAGAGAAGGGCAAACCAGGATTGGCGTCAGCTGTCCTTCTAGGTCAAGCAGGCCTTTAGCAAAAGCCGCTGCAGACATCTGTCAACAGTGCAAATCAGTTTTTCAATCAGATGAGCTCTTTCACATATTTTGGTGCAAACTGCGAGGAGTAGTAAAGCTTAAAGCATATGTTCAAAAACTGATGCTCATCTTCACTACTAGAGGCGTAAAGCTGTACCTGAACACGTCCCTCGTCAGAGCTGTAAATTTTAAGGTCATGACGGTATGTACTATGGAGACGAAGCAAACCAGTCCCTTCACCTGCAAGCATATGACGTTTCATCGTGAAATACTTAATATATTGATCATCACAAGTACACTAAACTCCTTCAGATGGAAAGTAACAGATATAAGTAGATCAAGTTCCCTCACCTGGATACATATTGTTTCGAAAGTATCTACCAAGTTCTTCTGCCTGCAGATGAAGCATACATCAAAAAAATTAGACAAGAATACACCAACCGCCTGCACTTGTGTTAGATAAGCTACCATAAGATACCTCCATTTACCAACAGAAATCTCTAATTTTGCAATTATTTTATGTTATTGATTGGTAGTATACCTGCTTTCTACCAGCGTGTGTTAAAACACCCCCATATTTCAAAACCATAAGGGCTTCTACTGGTCTTTCTTCTTCGCCTTCACCATCGCCTTTTGGTATTTTGACCCACTTCAGCGGCTTCAGTTGAACCTTCCTGTATATACCAGAGAAATGTCCTCCCTGCATATCAAAGTTCTATAATATGAGGGAGAATTTACGGAGAAAAAATCCAAACAGAACCTGTATAAAAGTCCCAGATATATCTTAACAACAAATCACTGTAAAGCCCAAAAAGTAACAGCGGCTGCTGGTGAATATAACATGAAACTCGATATTTCAAAGAATGCAGCACATATAAACGGAAAGTAACAAAAATATCAAGACACGTAACCTCTTCAAGAACTGCTTTCACTTGCCGAAGCTTCTCAGCATGTTCAAGGTCTTCTGCATCACTATCACTTTCACGACCTGGTCTAAAAATAAAAAAGATAGACCATAAGGTTCTTACCAAATTTCAACAGTAAAACATGATTTACAGCAGTAGTAAATGAAGCATGCTATTTTGTTTCTAAGAAAACTTCAATGAGATAGAACAAAATCCCCTTCGAAAGCTTTGGTGAGTAGAAATATAGCATGGGGATTCTCAGTATTTACATTAAAAGTAGCTCACATGAAAATGCATCACAGAAACAGCAGAATGTTTTGAGAATAAATTAAGTTACTTCAATCAAATAATGTTAATCTTAGGACATGTTTTTGGTACCTTGAACGGGGAACTAGCATTCTTGTGGCATCTAATAGATCTTGCAACTGGACGGCACTCTTAAGTTTGGTCTGCAAAAGGGGAGAAATTGACACAGTATAAGCAAATCAATCAAGGCAAGATGAACTTGAAGATAGAAAGACTTGAGCCTCTCACCTCAGCTCTTGGCTTTCCACCATTGTACTTCAACATTAGGTTTAATAGTTTTTCCTCTGTAACTTTTAGTTTCACTTTCTGTTTGGGAGTTCTATCGCCACTGACATGTAAAACAAAGGTTCACACTTCTCAGATCCTGGCTAAACAGAGAGAAGGATAGAAGGAACACGTGATTATATGCTAGAACATACTGTCGAATAACAGCAATGACACAACGTAGCTCTTCTGACTGCCCAAAAGTGCCGATGATGCCACTACCCTGGCGAGTTAGTCCTTCATTAGGTTGTACGCGTTCGTTGATCTTCCATGGCAAGGTAGGAGGAAGAGTCGATGAAAGATGAGGAGCCTTTGCATCCAAACACATCTTCCTTAGCACACACGCAGCATCGTCGTAATACCTGAGAGTACAAGAGGTTTGTGAATACTTTAAAACTGAAAAGCACTTTTTGAGAGTTTAAGAAAGAGGCAAAAGATGCCAGTCTAAAAACTCTAGAAACTTAACCTATTAATAGAGCTATGATTTTAAGAAAGGAAATAAAAATGCAGAATGCTAGCTTACTTGTATGAGTTCTTCACAAAACTCCATCCATTGACATCACACACATATGAACAGCCTTCTGATCGTAGAAGATCAAACCCACAGACCTGGAAATGTGAAAAATGTTGAAGAAATTACTAAGCCATTGCTCGGAATCAGAAAGTACCATTATAAGGGATCACAGCCCTGCAAGAAGTAATGAGAGCCAGAGGATTGGATTCACAACATACCGCTTGCCTAAATGCGATGCAAACTTCTCTAGCCATTTGCTTTTCAGCTGGTGTAAGCAATACTGGATATCTCACCTGTTCAATATATTAACCAAAAATAAACTACTGATCGAAATCTAAACATCAACATTTTAAACCTTCATGAAAATACTAGCAACTCATGCTTTCATATAATCAGCAGATTTTGAATCAATAGCCTTTTCTTCATTAAAAATTAGGAACTGTTGGGAAATGATTGAAAAACGTACCTCCTTCCCATCTGTATTCCTCATAACAACACCATCAACAACAGGCGACTTTCTGGCTTCAGCATGTGCGTATTCAGGACCCACTGTGTAGACCTATGTTTAGTAGGAAGATTGTCAGTTGAGAACTCATGTTCACCAGACAAAAACAACCAGAAAAACGTGTATATAGTAAACGATCACACAACCTTGACATCAGTTCCTCCGGTGGCCATAAACTCCTCGTATATATAAGAGCCTTCTCTCCTAACCCGTCTGACGTCAGGATGAAATTCACTTGAACGGTTCCCAATCTGAAGTAAAATGGTGACAAGCGATATATATGAGGCAGAAAAGGAGTCAATTACAATTAAGAAAATATTAGAGTAACCAGTTCGATCCAGAGCAGAGAAGTTCTGCAGAAAGATGCAGTACCTTGCGAAACAATTCTTTCATGCCTCCACCTGCCGAGCTAGGGTAGTATATCATTATACTATGGTCATCTCCTATAAACGCATAAAGAATGTCAGAAGATAATAAAAAAAAATCTGCAAATCAGAAGATAAATAAAACAAGGAGGATAGCCATAGGCAAGCTCACCATTGACAGGCTTTTCCACAAATGGCTTCCAGAAGCGTTCACCATTGACCTCAACAAAATCTTCTTCCTCGACAAAATAATTAAGGTCTTGATTTGGTACCTTTCTATTGACACAAGCATACCTAGGAACTGGGATGCCATACATCTCAAGATGCTGTAGATGCACATAAGCAGTTGTTTTTATTAGTAAAAGGAAAAAGTAGGTAGCTCTTCTTTGTCGTTAAGCCTGAATCACTTTGAAGAATTATCCAAAATGTGAACAGAAACAACTATCTTGCAGTCTAAAATTATTTACCTCATACACCTTCCGGCGATCATGAAGAAGATACTGCGGATCTAGTTCATTCACTAAAAATGGCCTGAAATAATCGAAGTTTGAAACATCAGACCTCAATAGCCAAACTCAATTAATTTTCACCGAAAACTAATGTAAGATATGCTGTTGTTTATTGAGCCAACAGTGAGGGATAAAAGGTAAGACTCACTTTCTTAAAGCAGCATATGCCTGAGCCTTCTCAAGAGGATATCCAGAGGAATGAAAAGCAATCAAGCAATCACAAATGGGCCAACTGAAACAGTAAACCTTCTGGTAAAGTTTTGATTCCAGTATATACTTTGTACTTGATAAATATTCAACTACACTTTATCGTAATACAGTTATAAAGAATCATTCATAACATGAGTTAAAGCCAAAAGTGAGCTCTATTTGGTACACCATACCTTTCTATCGGATCTTCAAGTATAACTTTATCCCCAAAATGCAAGATCTGCGAATAAAGTAAAGTTGCAACAAAAGTGTCAATGAGATGATAAATAAAAGAGGAAATGGAATACAACAGAGAATCTACAAAAACAAAGAGTCAACAACTTTTCTTTAATGCAAAAAGTTACTCAGAAGCATCTTCCAATAACATTCGCCCAAGAATCACAAAAATACAGGTCATTCAATCAAAAAGCAATCTCTCACCAAGGAAAAAAAAAAACAACAAGTATAAGAATACAAACCAGAGAGTATCAAATTGATCTTCAATCAAAAACCAGAAACAAGAAGGTACCTCAAATTCACCAAAAGACTCGAGTCTGTCGAGAATTTCCCCCATGGGAGCTGAGAATACCTATAATAAACCCACAAGGAACAAACCATCCATGAACGAGCGAGAACACATAGTGAAAAAAGACTAACCGGTCATCATGGAGCCGTGGTACAGGATTAAGAGAGCTCAATTCCGAATCTGTTGGTCAGTAGAAAACGCGAAATACGAGCAGCAAACAAAAAAAAAAAGAGAAACAGAACCTCGGAGCCGCATTTCACCTTCTTTTCCATGACGCAGACTCCAATCTTTATCTTCTCACCAACCACACTTGCTCCTTCTTCCATCTCCATTCTCTCTCTCTCTCTCTCGACCTTTTAACGACGTCGTAGTCTTCTCTCTAAAGTCACAGATTCACAAAATCAAACCAAATAAACGCCGACATACACTAAATCTCGTCAGTTTCCAACGATGATGATATGATCAGCTAGCTCTTTGGAAGAAACACGCACAATTCGGGCATAAGAGAACAGTAGAAGATCTCGCAGAGAAGACGAAGAGAGACTAACCAGTAAAACAATGGTGATCACAAGGCAGAGAATAAAGCCCTTGCTTGAATTGGGAAATTAAATATTCTATAAAATATCTAAAAGCAGCGGTGAAGCACGGGGAGAGAGAGAGAGAGAGAGATAGAGAGAGGACAATTCAGTCGTCACAGGCCGTTTGCGTTAAATAAATTATTAAGGAAAAAACTTATTAAAATGCTATTATTGTAATTTTTAGTCAGCATCCTTGGACCGAATTGGACCCACAACTTGACGTTAAATTATTATGGTCGAGCAAATATAATAATGATGATAATGATCAAAATGTTATTATTGATATACTATATGAACTAAAATATCACATGGTCCGTTGTGTCGTCCATCAATGATACATTAAAAGATATAATGTCATGATTAGGTTTTGCTATTATATTTTTGGTTAAGAAGAGAAAATATGTAACCAGAAAAAAAAATGTGCAAGGATAAGATCTAGTAGGGTTCTCGAATATGCAGTAAGAGAAAATATGTAAGTTTGTTTTTGCATAGACGTTAAAAGGTTCCAACCAAAAACATATTAGGTGTCATTTTCAGGTTGTCTGACTTTATTTTTGTAGTTTTAAACAAGATTATAAGATTCTACTACCAACTAGTTCGTTAGGTGCGATTTGGATTTGAATTTGATTTTAGGTAACATATTTTCTTTTCTTCTTCGGGGACATGTGATAAAATTGGAACAATACAAAGAAGATTAGCATGGCCCTTGCGCAAAGATGACATGCATAAATCAAGAAATGGTATAAATTTTCTTTAAAAAAAAAAGATGTTTAAAAGAAAAGGTTAAACGAATACATATCAATCAACTATACAGGTACTTATCAACTGCTATCATACAATATTGGAATATGAAGAAGACATTAGCTTCACAATGATATCTTTCTTCGTAAAGAAATAACAAAATAATCTTTTTTTTTCTTCCCAAGTTGGTTGTAAACTTGTAATTGATATACAATTGTACTGTCAATTGTCAATCTCTGCAAAAAACAAAAACATAATTAGATATTAGAATAGTTAAACTTGAGATGATTAAAAATTTGTGCTGACGTGACGAATAATGAGACTTTCAAGAAAAATATGTGTCGTATGTCGGATTTTCCGAACAAAAGAAATCGGAAAAAACAAGAACTCTGGACACGCAATGTCTCGAATATACCTAAAATTTTATTGGAAATGGAAATCCTCGAATGAAAGAAATTAGAAATGCTATAAACATACAATTATAATTAACGATAACTGCTAACAATATTTTGAAGGAGGTGAGTTTAGTACCGAAAGAAGAAGGGAAGACGATGATATGCATAGTTGCGTTGTTTGGAGGAAGATGCAATTGAAGAGGACAAAGCTTTTCATTCAGAGGATTTCTACAGCAGATCATAACTTCTTCCATCTCTGTTTCTTCCTCAAGTCTCTTCTTTAGTTCTATCAACTCGCTTCCATGGAATATCAATGATTTTTCTCCCATTTCCTTATTTATGTTCCCACAATCATCTCCGATCTCGTAATTTATTAGTCTTCCTTCGGATTTCAGTGGCAAACTCACAGTAAATGAATCATCTGACTGATCATGTATGCAACATCGATAAATGTTTATAACATGTATATGTACTATTTAATTTTCAGGAGAATAGTACTGGTATGTGTAGTGTATATAATACCTCAATCCGTGAAAAAGTGGAAGAACTATGGGTAGATCCTGCATCATCTTTGGTAACTCGAATCTGGAGAACATCAACACTCCACATGATCCAATCTTGTGTGACCGTACGACTAGGAATATCGTGTGTGATAGAGTTTCTCCACGGTGGTACTCCCTTGTTCGCCCTTAGATATTGTCCGTACCGACTCTTGAACCGTACGTGTATACCATCGTCTGATATCGGCTCCCATTCCGCAGATGAATCCAACTTTCCCGGTAGAGTTTGAAGTACCTTGTTTCACAAGCAAACTTTAATATGAGACACATATGGCTTCTTTAGCAAGAAACATTTTCACGTTTAGAGATTCTGTTTATGTATTTTTGTTTGTTAGTCACAACAACGTGTTATTTCGTTGTTAAACATTTGAAATTTCTCTTCGGCAACATTTATTGAGTCAAATTGTTAATACATGTTATCAACGGATTTGGATGCCTTGTTTCTCAAGAAATCTCAAAAAGAAACCTAATTTGATGTGAGGTGGTTTCTTGTAGCCCAAGATCCCCTACTAATACCTTTTTACCGGTGGCTCCAAGGAGGAAATGAATATTAGTGGCGGTAAGGTATTTGCCGTAACAACTTTGGAGACGGATCACATTGGATCCAGGTACGATCTCAACCGTCCATCTGGTGTTTTTAGTTGTACCGCGACGATCTTGGTGAACGGATTCTTGATCTTCATCGGCGCCTAGGTATTTGTCGTTGTGGCTACGGAGACGTACAATCGCTGCCTTTCTAAATATCTCCATCGGTGACTACGAGAACAATGATAAACTCTTTCGAAGAAATTAAGAGTTAGGAGACAAAAGGGGATCTAAAAGTTATTCTCGATGATAGTCATGACACGTAGGATAATATGAAGGTTTCTCGACATGAGTTTTTTTGTTAATGGTTGGTTGCTTCTTTGATCCATGTCAAAAGCCTGATGAAACATTGAAATTATGTTAGTTCAGATGATGAGACCAGACTTCTGAATTGTTCGAGCAATCCAAAGAGGATTTCTAAATTTCATTCCACTAGTTGATTCAGAACCTTTTTTTTTTTTTTTTTTTTTTTGTGAACGATTCAGAACCTTTTCCATTAATTTTTTAGTTTCTATTTGTTCAATAATTGAATTGGTCCTCTGATATAGAACAGTGTTTTATTAGGTTCTATGATTTCATCTCTGTGAATCCTTTATTTAGTTTGTATGAAGTTTTTTACTTATTGCCCCAATTCTAGCGTCAAATTCTCTAGATTCAGGTCCTTGTAGAATAGAGAAGTTAGACAACACTATGATGAATTAAACAGAATTAGCAAACAAACTTGAAATCGTCCTATAATATGAAGTGTCCAGCTTCACTGCTCGAATCTTTTCTAAAAGAATTAGTCTACTGCTCAGATATATGAATTTATTCTCATAGATTACAAGAATCTCTGAAGTCTGACATGTGAATTATTCATAAAATCATCACCGCAGAAGAAGTACATACCCAAACGAAATTTGAGAAAAATAAGTAAGAGATCAGAGTTTGGTTAAGAATTTTTTCGGTCACGGTTAATCTGAAACACGGACCAATTTGTTAATCATCATATCTCTTCTTTCTTATCCTTCAATCAAACACTCAACAAAACAGATCGAATAAAACAGAAGATTAAGCAAATCAAAAAAGATATTTGAAAACTAGATCGAAGAAGACGATAGATGAAAGCGATTTAGATCATCAGAGACTTAAATACTAATAATCATAAAGATTTCTCCATCATGTTGTTGCAGTATTACCTCATCAACTGATCTAAATTTTGCATTATCAAAACAGAACAAAACATCAAAATTCAAAAACTCTACAGAAAACAAGATGAAAATTGAATAGAGAACCCTAGTAAATTGAGTTGTGTCGTCGATAAGCGCTAATGTCTCTCCCAAAGTTATGTGTGGTTTGTATATAAAGGTCCCCAATGACGGCGATTCTTCTCAGGTTTTATGAGGAAGGAAACCCTAGCGATTATGGGTCGTTTTCATAAGGCCCAATATCAAAATGATCCATTAAAATTTAAAACCCTAAACCACCACTCAATTAGCTTATATGGGCTTCTCTGAAATTTTACAACTTAAAAAAAAAAACTTGAACAAATACTTTGTAAAAAAAAATCAACATCTATTTAAGGCTTGGAATCCTTGGATCCTATTTTAAGGGACGACAATATCAAAATTAATATCCTTTTTTTTTTTTGTGGAGTAGATATAAACTTTTAGCTTAATTTAGCATGTTTTGTAGTAAATCCAAAACCGGATAAAATCTAATTTCAAACTCAACTAATTCTGTCCATTTTATCTTTAAACAAACACTTGAAACTCCAAAAAAAACTTCAAACACTTTTCAATAGTTTCATACATACGCAAAGAAACACAAAGGGGATATATTCTTAACAAGTTTTCTTAAACTAAGTAATGACATCGCTACAAAGATCAGCTGTTTCGTTCCGGCGCCAAGGTTCTTCAGGTCGTATTTGGAGTGATCAATCCATCTTAGATCAAAAAAATGGAGCAATTCTTCAAAACCAAGAACAAACATGTCAACAATCCGGAAGTACCAGTAACGATCTTGAAGAAAAAATTCCATCACGGAAATCAAGTTCTTCGTCGTCGTCCTCTTCATCACCACCTCTATACTTTTCTGAAATACGTCGAGGACCAGACATTTCATCTTCTACACGAAACAAACCCGGTTGTGGTTTATCGTCACTTTTCCGACAATGTATCGGTTCTTCAGCTCGTGCATAATTTTGTTCAATGCTTGACACAACAGATCTGTACATATATATGTTCTTGTTACATAACAAAAAATTCATCACAATTTTTCCGAATATGTATGTCACCAAACAGAGTTCTTAAGAAATGGGCCCAATGTTTTAAAAGGCCCAATAAATATTTGATTTGTCGGCCCAAATTGAAGCAGAATAAAGAATAATTTACCAGAGTAAGTAAGCCGCAAAACACAGACAAAGGTCGAACCCCAAGAATGCAAAATCTCTTATTCGAAAATTCTCAGCGTCTTTGTTGCAAACTCCTCTGAATTTGAAGTTTCGCCGGAATTTTCCTCTGTCTATGTATGATCAAAGTGCTTCTTCCCGATTCTGTTCTCGTTTCAGAGATCTGAGTGTCTGATTTCATCTACTACACGGGAAAATCTAGAGTGCTAGAAAGTAGGTCTCATACATACGCTTTTTCCTGTGGGGGAATTTTGATCCTCTGCTACGTTAATTAACTTTAGGTTTTGTTTTAAATTTGATATATTTTTTTTTGGCAGAGATGAAGCGGATAAGAGATGATGTCTATGCCTCTGGGTCTCTGGCTTCTTCTCGAGCCCAATTGTGAGTTTCTCTTCTTCAAATTTCGATTTTTTTTTTCTGTTGCGGTTTTCAATTTCTGACTGATGCAATGGGTTCTGTTTTGAGGCGATTAGGTTTTCTATAATTTTGCATGGAGAGTGAACAAATATTTGTTAGTGAATTGACTAGAGATGATTTGGTGCAGATATGGACAATCTCCGGTCCCCGGCAGTGGTGACACCGAAGGAGGAGGGAGAATGGCTGGTGGGGAAATTACTTGTCAGAAATTGACAACCAATGATGCCTTGTCGTACCTGAGGGAAGTAAAAGAGATGTTTCAAGATCAACGGGACAAATATGACAGGTTCCTCGAGGTTATGAAAGATTTTAAGGCTCAAAGGTTAGGTCTTTCACTCTCTGAGGTAGTAAGTTTTAGTAGGCGGCGGCATTGAATTTATTCTTCGTCTTGCATTTTCAGAACCGACACAGGTGGTGTCATTGCAAGAGTTAAGGAATTGTTTAAGGGACATAATAATTTGATATATGGATTCAACACCTTTTTGCCTAAGGGTTATGAAATAACGCTTATTGAGGAGGAAGACCATGCTCTGCCAAAGAAGACTGTTGAATTCGAAGAAGCCATCAATTTTGTCAATAAAATTAAGGTATTATATTTCTCTTATGAAGTGCCCTTACATCTAGTGTCTCAATGTACAAGTTCCTTTTTTGTCACTGCAGAAGCGATTCAAGCACGATGAACATGTCTATAAATCTTTCTTGGAAATCTTGAATATGTACCGCAAGGAGAACAAGGAAATTAGTGAGGTGTACAACGAGGTAATATACTTCATCTCACCTGTAATGCCACTCCAAACTCTTTCCAACATTTTCTAACCTTCGAATATCTATGCTCCAGGTATCTATTCTTTTTGAAGGCCACTTGGATTTGCTTGAAGAGTTTACTAGGTTTCTGCCAGCGTCTTTGCCCTCTCATTCAGCAGCGCAGCATAGCCGGAGTCAGGCTCAACGGTACAACGACCGAGGCTCAGGCCCTCCTCTAATTCATCAAATGCAAGTGGAAAAGGTATAACATATGTTTCATAATTTTTCTTCTTCTATTTTTTGGTCAGGTATCTCAGTTTTGTGCCCGCTACATCTTTTTATCACCAGGAACGCCGACGAGAAAGGGCTGTTGCTTCCCGCGGGGATTATAATGTTGAACGTCATGACCTTAATGATGATAAAACGATGGTGAAGATGCAAAGAGAGCAGCGGAAGCGTCTTGATAAGGAAAATAGGGCAAGGAGGGGCCGTGATTTAGACGATAGAGAAGCAGAGCAAGATAACCTACACCATTTTCCAGAAAAAAGGAAGTCGTCCAGAAGAGCTGAAGGTCTTGAAGCATATGCTGGTTCTGCTTCCCATTCTGAGAAAGACAATTTGAAAAGTAAGCTAATTCCTGTCAAACATATTTTTTATTTGCTTGGTCTTTTTTCTATTTTCTAGGGTCCCAGACAGTGGACACCTTAATTCTTTCTCTTCAAGAGAGAATTTATTAACCAATCTTGGTTGCCTGGTGATTTTTACTGTGCGAAGAATCTGCTAAGATGTTTACTTCTTTTGTGTTAGGTATGTACAACAAAGCATTCGTTTTCTGTGAGAAAGTCAAGGAGCGACTATGCAGCCAAGATGATTATCAGACATTCTTGAAGTGCCTCAATATTTTTAGCAATGGAATAATCCAAAGGAATGATCTGCAAAATTTGGTATTGCAATTTGTGACCAGGGGTTGATCTTGTGGTAACGTTCGGGAATTGTATTAAATGCCATTCATTTTCTCTCAGGTTTCTGATCTTCTTGGGAAATTTCCTGATCTAATGGATGAGTTCAACCAGTTCTTCGAGCGCTGTGAGAGTATTGGTACTCAAAATACCTATTACCATTTTAATAGTTATCACATAGTATCAATCTTCTTCTGACGTTCATCCTCTTTTTGCAGATGGATTTCAGCACCTTGCTGGTGTTATGAGCAAAAGTATGCTGCTATTCTAAACTTCTCAGCTATGAACAATATTGTCTCTTTCCCTCCTATTTTGTAAGATCTTTACTGACATTACTGGTACTCATGCGGCAGAATCATTTAGCAGTGAACTGTTATCCAGACCAGTGAAGGTGGAAGAGAAAGAAAGTGAACATAAGCCTGACCTGGAGGCTGTTAAGGAAACCGAGCAATACAAGGAGGAGTACATGGGAAAATCTATTCAAGAGCTTGATCTCTCTGATTGCGAGTGTTGCACTCCTAGCTACCGGCTTCTCCCTGCGGATGTAATTGGAGTTTCTATTTCCAAGTTGCATTTTGAGCATGTTCATTGGATTACTAGTTAATGTAATATATTATTTGCAGTATCCGATACCAACTGCGAGTCAGAGATCAGAGCTAGGAGCTGAGGTTTTAAATGATCATTGGGTGTCTGTCACTTCCGGAAGTGAAGATTATTCTTTTAAGCACATGCGCAGAAACCAATATGAAGAGAGCTTGTTCAGATGCGAAGATGATAGGTATATATATTTGACAACATACATATTGTTGTTGCAAGTAATTGGTCATTTAAGTTAATTACTGCTTATATCAGATTTGAGTTGGACATGTTGCTGGAATCTGTGAGCTCTGCGGCCAGAAGTGCAGAAAGTTTGTTGAACATCATCACAGAGAAGAAAATAAGTTTTTCTGGCTCCTTCAGAATCGAAGACCATTTTACGGGTCTGTATTCTTTTCTGGGACCTGTAGTTCGTCGTTATATCTTCTCTCTTCCCCTTTTTTGGAGCTCGCATATGTTTGGTTCTTAAACTTTGCCATTTTCTTATTGACTTATTTACAGCCCTAAATTTAAGGTGTATTGAGCGACTTTATGGCGACCATGGTCTTGACGTGATCGACATATTACATAAGAATTTAGCCACTGCACTTCCTGTAATCCTAACTCGTTTAAAGCAGAAACAAGATGAATGGAAGAAATGCCGTGAAGAATTTGATAAGGTCTGGGCGAATGTATATGCGAAAAACCATTACAAGTCACTTGATCACCGCAGCTTCTACTTCAAACAACAAGATTCAAAGAACTTGAATGCAAAATGTAAGTAGACTTATAGAAGTCGTAAGAAAATTTATATTAGTTACTTTATCCTGTTTTATTGCCCACATTCATCTGGCAGTGATATTCTTACTTTCTCTTATTCCTTTTTCATTCTGTTTCTTATTCTTGTTTCGCGAACCAGCATTGGTGGCTGAAATTAAGGAGCTGAAAGAGAAGTCTCAGAATGAGGATGATGTTCTGTTGTCTATTTCTGCTGGTTACAGACAACCCATAAATCCTAATCTTGAATATGAGTATTTCAACAGAGCTATTCATGAAGACCTGTACAAACTAGTCCAGTTTTCATGTGAGGAGTTATGTTCTACAAAGGAACAGCTCAGTAAAGTTCTGAGGCTTTGGGTAAATTTCCTGGAGGCAGTGCTGGGTGTTCCTCCCAGGGACGAGGGCGCAGATCTTGTTGAAGATGTTGTAATAAAACCCAAGACTCTCGATGTGAATCACAGTACATCTACTAACGGGGAGTCTGCTGTGAGTTCTGGAGCAGACACAGCAAGGTTGGCTTCTAGGAAACTAAAATCTGCTGCCAATGGAGATGAGAATGCTTCATCTGGGCCAATTAAACACGGTGGCATAGGTTTGGTAAATAAGGATTCGACAGGAAAAGAAAATCTTAAAGATACTGATACAGCCATCAGAGATGGTGACACCTGTTCTGCTGTGAAACCCCAGAAAGAACAAGAGACTGGAAATGAAGCCGATAAAAGAGTTGTAAAGCCTATCCCGATGGATATTTGTGAAAGAGCAGTCACCTCGAGTTTATCAATCCCAAGTGGGGGAGAAAACAGTCATTGTGTAGTAGGAAAGGAAGATTTGGCAGGTACTTTCCGGATTTAAACTATTTAATTTTATTTCTGCTGCTTGTTTATTTGTGTTGATATTTGTTACTTTACAATTAAGGTTCACATGAGATTCAAGCCAAACCAAGCAACACCTTCACTGATATTCATCATGATGTAGATAGCATTGAAACGGTTCATTCGACTCAGGTACTACATTGAATAACTATATATTCACCTAAACCCGCTATTGCCTGGAGGTTTCCATGGCTTAGGGATGTATTATTACTCATGGAGTATTACAGTAGTACCTATGGCCTATGGGACCCAGGGATTAAAAAACTAAAATGTGTTTTATATTATATATTATGCTATCTGGACCCTTCTGACCATGCTAAACGGTCCTTTCATTTTACTAGGGAGGTGATGTTGGCACGTCGATAGTTTTGGCAAATGGATTAAGGTCTGATTCTTCTAAAGGTACTAGGAATTCTGATGAACCCGAAGGTTCCTCCAGGATTGAGAAGGAGGAAGGTGAACTCTCACCTAATGGTGATTTCGAAGACAACTTTGGTGTGTACGAAGATCTTGGGGTGAAGTCCACATCCAAACCAGAGAATTCAGCAGATGCTGAAGTAGAGGCAGATGCTGAGATGGAGAATGCGGATGATACTGACGATGATGATGGTGAAAATGCTTCCGAGGGTGGTGAGGATGCATCTGGAACTGAATCTGGTGGCGAGGAATGTTCACAGGACGAAAACAGAGAGGAGGAGAATGGTGAGCATGATGAGATTGATGGTAAAGCTGAGAGTGAAGGGGAAGCGGAGGGAATGGATTCACATTTCTTAGAAGGAGACAGCGAGTTGCTTCCTCAGTCAGAACATGTTCTCTTATCCGTCAGACCCCTTTCAAAGCATGTAGCAGCAGTTTTACATGATGAGAGGTCAAAAGATCTCCGAGTTTTCTATGGGAATGACGATTTTTATGTTCTTTTTAGGCTTCACCAAGTGAGTGCATCGTTTGATATGATCTTTTACCTAATTATTTACTGAAATTACTTCTCTCTAGCAAAGATAAAGTGGTGCATTTTCAGATCCTGTATGAGAGAATTTTGTCTGCAAAAAGGAATTGCTCAGGCGGTGAACTGAAATCGAAAAACTCAAAGGATACCAATTCCTTAGATCCTTATGCGAGGTACCTTCCTTTGTACAACTGTTTATACTAGCCTAAGTAGATAATCCAATACATATTTAATCTGATCTGTATGTTGTACAGGTTTATGAGAGTTTTGTATCGATTGCTTGATGGATCAGCTGAAAATACCAAGTTTGAGGATGAGTGCAGAGCTATAATTGGGAATCAATCATATGTGTTATTCACGTTGGACAAACTGATATACAAATTGGTTAAGCAGGTGTTACTGACACTAGTGGTTCAAGACATTATTTTTGATGTTATATATTATGTTATATTCCCTGTGATGTTCTAATATTATCCATCTGCAGCTTCAAGCTATTGTAGCTGATGAAATGGACAACAAGCTACTTCAGCTGTATGAATATGAGAAATCCCGGAAATCCGGAAGGGTTATCGACTCGGTGTATTATGAAAATGCTAGGGTCCTCCTTCACGAGGAAAATGTTTACCGGTTGGAATGTGTATGAACACTTGTGACTCTCTTATTTCTCCGGGTCTTCATACATCAATGTGGTGACTTATGATCCATTTGAACTTAATTGCCTTTTTTTATAATTCATATGCAGTCATCCTCGCCATCACGTGTATCTATCCAGCTTATGGATAACATAATAGAGAAGCCAGAAGCGTATGCAGTTTCTATGGATCCCACATTTGCAAGTTATTTGCAAAAGGAGTTTCTTTCCACCTCGTCAGGAAAGAAAGAGCAGGGACCTGCCATTGTATTACAAAGGTATACATCTTATATATTGCTCAAAGAGTTTCAGTCTTTCATCTGCTTCTTTAAGGCGTTTGCATAAATATACGTTCATGAAATTGCATTCAATTCTATCTCTTTGACACGCTTGTAGGTTATATATAGGTTTGTTCTTTGTTTTTCTCTTCTACTGGAACTGGTCCAGGATACTTGGACGAAATTAAGTAATTAAACAAAATCCCTTTTGGGCAATTTTGGCAGGAACCTGCGTCCATACACCGGGTTGTATGATCTTGCAGCACTCTGTAAAGCTATGGAAGGTGTCGAAGTAGTAAATGGCTTGGAATGCAAGATGTCTTGCTCTTCTTTCAAGGTAAACCGATTTTCAGTCTCAAAAATCTTGAACCAAGCAACTCAATTATACCGATTTCAACCTGTTCATCTTTCTTTATTCAAAAGCTTCTCTGTAGTCAATTTTCTGTTCATGAATCAATCAATATATATATTCATCTCTTGTAGATCTCGTACGTATTGGACACAGAGGATTACTTCCACAGGAAGAAGAAGAAAAAGAAGACTGAACAGTTACCGCAATGTAACAAAGATAGAGTAGAAAGGTTCCATAGGTTTCTCTCAGCTTAAAGATGACCACAACAAAGTTTCCTCTTGGGGTTTTCTTCTTACTTTTAAACCAACAACACTCAACACACAAGAAAAAGGTAAAACTGACAAAGTTGCACAAGTAAAGTTCTCTGCAACAAGTCCCAACTTTGGTTTTCAGATTTCTTACTATGCTGATTATAAGATGAGATATAGAGAGATGCACAAAGTGGAGAACAAAACCATAAGAAGAACAATGGTGGTTTAGTGTTTCTATGTGTATCTTGTATTGGTTTTAGGTTTCAAGTGTCAAGTCTGTTAGTGTTAAATGTAGTGTGTATGTGTGTGCACTCTTGAGGAGATTGTTGTTGTAAATATATATAGGACCAAAGGAAAAATTATTCTTCATCTACTTCAAATTTCAAGATTATGAAATCAACTAAAAAATTTCAACAACATTTTTGTTTTTGGTGAGTCAGAGAGATCATATTTCGTATTAATTAAGTTGCAATTAACAAGTTTAAGAAAATCACTAAACCTAACCATAATTAGGTTTCACTTTGATTATTAGGAAAGCCAAAGAATATGTGTTGAAAATCCCTGCATCCGATATATGGATGTTTCATACATTCAACAATGATGATTTTTTATCATCTCATAATCGATGGAATAATACTTATACGTAGTTGTTTTCAACGCATTGAAACACTCCTTAGTGAGGCCGTCGAAATTTGTCTTTAAGACAAGACTTCAAAACAAACGGAGGAGTACTATGAAACATTCAATGAGGCATATATGATTGTTTGCGATTTGTGAAATGTTAAGACTTTCGTATCAGAATATCTGATTCATTTTTATTTTATCATTAAAAATACATAGTACAAATAAGAATCCCCTTTCGTTACATGATTTTTGTTTCATTGAACCTTCGAGAACAAAAGTCTTTGAAGATAAAAGTATTGTAACTTTCGTCGGGAGCTACAACCAAAAGGCAGTGAGGAAGTATATTCACTGCATTGCAACAGTCTCTTGATAGCAATCTGATATTTTTATCCGAAGCTAACGCTAATTTCAACGCATCGAAACATCCACTCACGTTTACTATCGGTGCTATCTGTTCACTTGAACATATCCACGATTTGATCTTCATCTGAGCTTCGGATGGTCGGAAAATCAAAGCTGAAACCACAATTAGTACGAAGAACTTCATTTTGATTTGCTTTGTTTTCATTTTCTCTGTTTTTGTTTTACAATAGAAGACTGAAAAAGATTATGGTTTATAGAGTTGTGTAGTTGTAGAGAAGTGACGTGAAGCTTTTTTTATGTGTGGAATTTATTCTAAGGATTTCCTTCTATTTTTGACAAAAAACAAAAAAAAAAAAAAGGATTTCCTTCTATAAGAAGATTGACCCAAGCAAATACTTATTTATGGAAAAGTAACTTTTATATGCTTTAAAGTTTAAACATAATTAGTTTGACCAATAGAGTTTTTAGTTTTGTTGGACTCAAATTTTTATTGGTGATTCTTAGTTATCAAAAAAAAAAATATTTTCCTATATTTATTGTTTTTGTTAAAAAAAAGATAATCTATGAGGGGTCATATATGTTGAATATGAACAATTCTTGGGTTCAGCCCTAGGGGTGAACCCAATTCATTCACCTCCTCTTTAATAACCAATCAAAATTTGCCATGTCATCTAATTTAAAAAATTAAAATAATTAATATTATCAAAATGAAAAAAAATTAAATTAAATCATTAAAACCCAAAACTGAAATAATTTTGCTAATCATACGAGAGATTGTGGCATTGATGTTAGAAGTTCTACTTGTATAATTATTTGTATGCTACTTATAAGAGAAACTGATTATAAGAGAACGGCGAGCTATTCCCTTTACTTGTTCGAGAAAAGACTGATCGTTTCTGACCCCAAAGCTTCCATGAGAAAACATATAATCCCATTTCCCAAACCATGGTCGACCATATGCAACACCATGGAGAAGCCTCAGATTCATCGCTCCCTTCTTCGATGTATCATCCAAAGAAATCTTCCTGCAGCCAAAGACATAATCAATGATTAACAACTTCATAAACACTACTCAGTACTCAATCAACTCACTTTACATTATTCACTCTGGTTATAATCGGTTTGTGCATTTTAAAACATTTTCAAATCCATATAGATTTGCTTCATTTTAATATAGATTTCCATTTGAATTTTGTATATGTAACTAGATTTTGTTGCAATCCATAGTTTTGTGTAAAAACACGAAATTGGCTTCAATAAAAATACTGAAGTTCAATCTTAGTTTACCCAAGAAACAAAAAAAAAAAAACCAAAGGGTTATGTGATTCATGGTCGATGTGGGACATCAATGTCATAGTCACTCCTATAATTAGCAAAAATCTATTCATGCGTCCCAACTCATTGTGAGCTTCAATTCTAAACATCAACGCCACAATTTCTCTTATAACTAGCATACAAATAATTATACTAGTAGAACTTCTAACATCAATGCCACAATCTCTCGTATGATTAGCAAAATTAATTCAGTTTTGAATTCTTAATGATTTAATTTAATTCTTTTGTTTAAATAATATTAGTTGTTTTAATTTTTTAAATTAGATGACATGGCAAATTTTGATTGGTTATTAAAGAGGGGGTGAATGAATTGGGTTCACCCCTAGGGGTGAACCCAAGAATTGTTCGTTGAATATTGAGGTCGAGATAGTGATTAAGCAGTAACCACATTTTTTTGGTGAAATAAGAACAACAAAATAATTAGACAGACAGCGAGATCATATTTCGGATTAATTAAGTTGGAAATAAAAGCTGAAAGAAAATCACTAAACCTAACCCTAATGTATTGAACAATGAATACGTACCCTAGCATCCTATATGGATGTTCATACATTCAACAATGGGATTATTTACCATATCATAATTGATCGTAAGGATACACATAACACAGTAATCAATGGAATCTCTAAATACTTGGTTGCTGTCCACGCATTGAAACATTCCTTAGTGAGGCCGTCGAAATTTGTCTTTAAGATAAGACTTCAAACAAACGAAAGACCATGAACGAAATTAAACATGAAATTAATATATATATATATATATATATATATATATATATATGATTGTTTGCGATTTGAGAAATGTTTTAAGATTTTCATATCAGAATTAAAAAGTAAATCTGATTCATTTTTATTTTATCATTAAAAATACAGAGAAATCATAAAATTGATTCATTGAACTTTTCGAAACAAATGCCTTTGAAGATATAAGTATTGTAAGCTCTATCGGGATATACAAGCAAAAGGCAATCATCAAGTGTTTTCACTGCTCTGCAACAGACTCTTGTTAGCAATCTGGTATCTCTATCCGCCGCTAATCTCACCGCATTGAAACATCCAGCCACGTTTACTATCGGCATCGTCTGTTTACTTGTACATATGCTCGTTTTTATCTGAGCTTCGGACGGTCGGAAAATAAAAGCTGCAACTACAATTAATAAAAAGAACATCATTTTGATTTGCTTTGGTTTCATTTTCTCTGTTTTTGTTTTACAACAGAAGACGGAAAATGTATGGTTTATAGACAAATGACAAAAGTTTTTTTACTGTGTGTGGAATGTATTCTAAGGATTTCCTTCTATAAGAAGAGTGAGTAAAGAAAGACCACGTACTAAATTAAATATATACATGATTTGAGAAGTTTTGACCTAAGCACAAAAAGTAACTTATATTTAGTTTGACCATTGGAATTTTAGTTATGTTGGATTCAACAAATATATCAAGGTTTATACTGGATATAAATAAAAGGATTTAACGGATATAACATCTATCTATGTATCGAAGACTTAAAATTATCTAACGATGGAGATCCTTTTTTCCTTGATATTATTTTTTTTTTTTTTTTTGCATAGTTTACAACTTTTACATATGAAACATGATGATACTAATACCAAGTCAAAAGATACTGACATGCACAGGTATAATTTTAATTCGTGGGTTTTTTTTAATGCATATATTAGGATATTCGTATACAGATAATGCGATTCTATCAAAGAAATAATATGTTAGCTTTTTTTACTGTACAATTTTCTTCTCTCCTCGACATTCAAATTTTAGAGTTATGCAAATTCTTAAATGTAGTGTGTATATGTGTGTACTCACTCTTGAGGAGATTTGGGAAAGCCCTTGAAAATGCCTTGGTTAATAGATTTATAAGCCCAAAGGAAAAATTATTCTTCATCAACTTCAAATTATTTTATTGGTGATTAAGCAGTAACAACAGCATTTTTGTTTTTGGTGATTTAAGAACAACAAAATAATTAGAGAGACAGAGTCAGAGACATATATGATTGTTTGCAATTTGTGAATTCTGTTAAGATTTTCGTGCCAGAATTAAAAAGTAAATCTGATTTATTTTTATTTTATCATCAAAAACACATAGAAATTATAGTACAAATAATAATCCCCTTGGTTACATGATTTTTGTTTCATTGAACTTAAGAATACAAAAGTTTTTGAAGATATAAGTATTGTAAGCTCTGTGGGGATATACAACCAAAAGGCAGTCATCGAGTGTTTTCACTGCTTTGCAACAGTCTCTTGATAGCCATCTGAAATCTAGATCTGCCGCTAATCTCAACGCATCGAAACATCCATCCACTTTTACTATCGGCGCTGTTTGTTCACTTGTACATACGCTCGTTTTTAGTTGTGCTTCGGATGGTCGGAAAGTCAAAGCTGAAACTACAATTAATAAGAAGAACATCATTTTGATTTGCTTTGTTTTCATTTTCTCTGTTTTTGTTTGACAATAGAAGACGGAAATTTTATGGTTTGTGTAGTTATAGAGAAATGACGTGAAGCTTTTTTTATGTGTGGAATTTATTCTAAGGATTTCCTTCTATAAGAAGATTGACTAAAGAAAGACACGTAATAAATTAAAAGGATTTTGACAAGTTTTACCCAATCACATACTCATTTATGAAAAAGTAACTTATTTATACTTTAAACATAATTAGTTTGACCAATGGAGTTTTTAGTTTTGTTGGATTCAACAAACATATCGAAGATTTATACTGGAAATAAAATTATCTAACGATCAAGATCCCTTTTTCCTTGATTCATCTTTTTGCATAGTTTACAACTTTACATATGAAACATGATACTTATACCAAGTCAAAAGATATTGACACCCGTAAGATTTAAATTTCGTGGATTTTTTTTTAATCAAATCATAGATGATTGTTTACGATTTTCTTACCAGTATTTAGAAGTAACTTTTGATTCATTTTCAATTCTATCATTAGAAAATACACCAAAGTTATAAAATTGATCCAGGGAACTTTCTAATACAAATGCTTTTCAAGATATTAGTATTTAAAGCTTTGGTAGGAAAGACAAGCAATAAGCAATCAGGAAGTCTTTTCACTGCTTCGCAACAGTCTCTTGATAGCCATCTGATATCCTCATCCGCCGCTAATCTCACCGCATCAAAACATCCTGGTTCATTAGCTATCGGTGTTGTCTGATTATTCGAGCATAATAGGTTTGGATCTAGACGCGCTTCTGATGGTCGGAAAATCAATGTTGACACTAGGGTTAACAAGAACAACGTCACTTTGGTTTGTTTTAGTTTCATTTTTGTCAAGATTCCACAAATAATGACTTTGTAGGTTTGGATCGTGTAGAACTGAGATCATTGTTTTGGTAAATAAATAGAAAAGAATTTGTATTATTTAGATGTTGTGTATGGAATTTTCTTATACATAGAAAGATAGGTGAAGAAAGTTTGACTAAAAGATAGAGAAGAGAACAGGAAAGTTTGTTTATTTGTTTGACCCATATATATGCATATATATTAGGATATTCACAATCAATTTGTATATAAATTATGCTATCAAAGAAATAATATATATATTAGCTTTTTTACAGTACAAATTTTCTTCTCTCCTCAAATTTTTAGAGTAATAATGCAAAGTCTGTGAGTTTTTCCAATATATTGCAAATTGAGTCTTTCGACTTGTCTCTAGTACTATGGATTAGATATTCAATTTTTCATAGATAGCTAAATTTCGTTTTATATGGTTGGCTACTTTTTGGATTAAAATTCCAAAACACGAGGATTATATATATAGCCTTTAGGACCGAAGAAATAAAGATGATGATATGAGATCTCAAACAAAGTGAAGGACCATGAAACATTCAGTGAGACAAAGTAAGAGTTAACGTTCAAGATGTTCTTATAAATGAAACTTCCAATGAGACAAAGTACAAAAATTAAAGAATAAATTTGTATTCATCTTATTATTGGTAAAAACTTAATAGAGAAAGAAAATGATAAAACTAATGACGTAATGGAGGAAACATGCCATTACAAATGCTTTTGAAGATATGAATAGGGTTTTGTCAGGATTAACAAGCCAGTAGCACGTATCAGGAAGTGTTCTCACTGCCGTGCAACAAACTTTTGTTACCCATCGGAAATCTGCGTCGCCTGCCGCTTTTCTCAACGCATCGAAACATCCAGGCACGTTATCTATCCCTGTTGTCGGACAGAGGTTCGGATTCCGAGCTTCCGTGGTTGGAACATCAATGTTGGGATTAGTAGTGCTAACAAGAAAAACATCACTTTGGTTTGTTGTAGTTTCATTTTTGAGAATATTATTTTTCTTAGTTGCTTTTTGTGGGTTTGGATTGTGTAGAGATGATAAGACATTGTATCGTATATAAAAGAAAATAATTTAGGATACTTTGGAATGTAATCTTATATAATAAAGTTTGACTTGAAAGATCGGGAAATTTTATTTTTTTTTGGTTTGACCCATATAAATATAATTATTAAGAGAATCCACAATCAATAAATATGTGATGGTTTTAAGGAAATTACATATTACCGTCTGAGATACCACCAATATTAATTTAGGTATATCACGAAATGATTCTGGATATAGAAAGATTACTAATCGCAAGTGAAAATAAAGGATATGTATAGTTTGAATGACATAAGAAAATTTAAACGTATTTTTTAGCGTATCATTGAAAGATAGAGACTAATGACGTAATGGAGGAAACTTGCCAATACAAATGCCTTTGAAGATATAAAGATAGAGACTAATGACGTAATGGAGGAAACTTGCCATTACAAATGCTTTTGAAGATATTAATAGGGAAAGCTCTGCCAGGATAAACAAGCAAGTAGCAATAATCAGGAAGTGTTCTCACTGCCGTGCAACAATCTTTATTTAGCCATCGGAAATCTGCGTCGCCTGCCGCTAATCTCAACGCATCGAAACATCCAGGCTGGTTATCTATCGCTGCTGTCGGACAGAGGGGCGTATCCTTAGCTCCCGATGGTTGGAACATCAATGTTGAGATTAGTGCTAACAAGAAAAACATCACTTTGGTTTGTTGTGGTTTCATTTTTGAGAATATTATTTTTTTAGTTGTTTTTGTGGGTTTGAATGGTGTAGAGATGATAAGACATTGTATCGTATATAAATAGAAAAGGATTTATGATTTTATGGAATGTAATCTCATATAATAAAGTTTGATTGGAAAGATTGGGAAATTATATATTTTTTGTTTGACCCATATCAAATATAATTATTAAGAGAATCCGCAATCAATTTGTGTATATAATAAATATGTGATGATTTTAAGGAAATTATATATTACCGTCTGAGATATCACCAATATGTAGATATATCAAGAAATGATTCTGGATATAGAAAGATTACGAATCGCAAGTGAAAATTAAGGATATGTATAGTTTGAATGACGTAAGAAAATTTAAACGTACTATTTTTCTTTTTATGGTATCATTGAAAGATAGAGAAAATTCATAAATTTGGTTATGCAGGTGCAGGGACCGTATTACTACAAATTACTCTGAAGACACTAATTGGTAAAGCAAAGTCACCCTTAAGTGTCAAGACGCAAGTATCAGGAAGTGTTGCGAATACTGCTCTGCAACAGTCTACTGATAGCCATCTATAATCTCTTCCCGCAGCTAATCTCAACGCATCGTAACATCCTGGTACTCTGCTTATCCTGGTTGTCAAACAATAGACGTCCCGCGGAGCTGCTTCCGATGGTCGGAGAATCAATGCCAAGATTAGGGCTGACAAGAAAAACATCACTTTGGTTTGTTTTAGTTTCATTTTTTTTTTCTTGAAAAGTTTAAACAAGAATTGATTTCGTGGGTTCAAATTGTATGGATCTGAGATCTTTTGTTTCGGCGAATAAATAATAAAAAGTTTGTAATGTATTAGAGATACGTAAAGAAAGTTTGACTATAAAAATTAATTTGGAAATTTCATATATTATATAGTTTGACCCATACATATATATATGCATATCAATTCAATTGATATATAGTCAATTCAATTGATATATAGTCAATTCAATTGATATATAGTCAATTTCTTTTGCATATATATATAGGAAAATCATTGAATATGAAGACTTAAGAAATCCATAAAGTATAGATATCATCTCCAATTTGAATAATAAGATCATAACGAAATAAAATAAATCATTCTTCTATAATGCATACTATTTGCGGGAGAAATACTTAATTTTATCACTTTTCAGTTTTGGTAGACAAGATTACGTTCGGAGCCAGTATAAGTAATATCACAAGATAATGAATGGAAAACTTATTTTACTTCTTCTTTTAAACGATCCTTTACTTGTGACAAAAGGTACAAAGTCAACAAGCAGATGTCTAGTAATTAACTGATACTTGATATAGAAGATAGTCGAAGTTCTAAATTATGTTGTGATTTTTTTTTTCATGGTTCGTCTTGGATTATATGATTTAATTCGTTGATTTCTGTTAAGTAAACAAGCGTTAACGTGACTTTTCAGCGGAATATGGCAAAATAACAATTTAATTGTAATCTTTTGCATATTTTTTTTAAATGGGTATATTTCTTTTTATGAATCAAAATTGAAAATATATTCCCAATAAGTGAGGACTGAGGAATATTAACATCTAAGATGATAGGCCTTTTTAGACAAAACGAACACGATGAAAATGAGACTTCAGACAAAGTCGAAGGACGATGAAACATTGAATGAGCGAGTGCAAGTGAAAAAAGATATTTATAGTTTGAATGAGGTAAGAAAATTCAAAAGTATTATTTCATTTTTTATTTTATAATTGAAAGATACACAAAAATCATGAAGTTGGTCATAGAGCTGGAGGTTTAACAGCATCACAAATATTTCTGAAGGAAGTCATTGGTAAAGCAAGTTCAGAAGTAAGTTGCAAGAAGCAAGTAACAGGAAGCGTTGCGAATACTGCTCTGCAGCATTCTCCTGTTAACAATCTAATATCTCTGTGCACCGCTAATCTCAACGCTTCGTAACATCTTGGCACGCTGTCTATTCTGGTTGTTGAACACAAGACGAACCGCGGAGCTGCTTCCGATGGTCGGAAATTCAATGCCAAGATTAGGACTAACAAGAAACACATCACCTTGGTTTGTTTTAGTTCCATTTTTATTTCTTATTTTTTTTTAGAAGGTTTCAAAAGAATTAGTTGTGTGGGTTGGAATTGTATGTATCTTTGGCTCGCTCGATGTATAAATAGAAAAGAGTTTGTACTGTATTGTGAATTTGTGATACGTGATGAAAGTTTGACTATAAAAAGTAATTTGGAAAGTTCATATAAATATTTTTTGGTAGAAAGTTCATATATTTGTTTGACCCATATATATTTTGGAAATTCACTGAATACCTAATAGTACTGTATGAAGAAATCCATAAAGTGGATATCATCTCCATTTTGAATAATAAGAAATCATTCAATATTAAAAAGAAATAAAATAAATCACTTTTTTTTTTTTCGACAAATCACTTTTCTATAATACATACTATTTGACGGAAAATTAATTAATTTTATCAGTTTTCAGTTTTGGTATACTGAAATTAAATACAGCAGTATATAATTATCAACAACTATTTCTAGGATTTTTTTTTTGAACCAAACTAATCCTAGGATAATGAATGGAAATTCAAATTTTTCTAGATGAAAACTAATATTGTAGTTCTTCTAAGATCGCTTGCATAGTTAATTTGTTGCACAAGGTACAAAAGTCAAAACATGATGATATATAGATTTGGTTTTAAATTTTAAGAACAAAAATTTCTTTTTTTTTACAACTGAAAAGAAATGTAATGATACCAAACCAAATATGGGATTAAACATTTATATTAAGTTAAGGAGAGAATAGGAACTCGAATCAACTATAGAACAAAGTCACTCGGCAAAAATACATGGATTTTTGTTGGGTGTGACTTTTATCAACAATAATACTCTGTATCTTACTATTGATTATGGCAAACAAAGACTAAAGCTATATGTTGGATGAGCTATGTGCTCTCATGTACCCAGAGAAAACATGTGACCTCAGTAATGTTATTTATTCCGATCAACCTCTGCATACCATTTCTTCCATGCCTCCGTGAAATGCCCAAGAAGACCTGTTATTTCTGTTTTTACAACATTTTTCAAAACCAAAACTCAGTTTATGTTTTATATTCAGATATGTTTGCAAAAACAGACCCATCTTATAGAAGCCAAATGGAATCAAGAATGTAACGATTTGAGTGTGGTTGTTACCATGATTGCAATACTGTGGTTGGTAGGTAGAAGCAAGGGCCTCGATCTCTAGTAACCTTCCCTTTCCGACATTGTTGTTGTTCGTCTTAGATGCTCCTGTTGGGGAGAATGGGCCAAACACATATTTGCTTGCAGCTGGTTTCGATTCCTGCTCTGTGTTTTCCTGGTCATATTTCTTATATCCAATTTGCTTGCGGATTGATGAACAGCCTGTTTTGTTTCTCTTTGCTCTCAAGTTTGTGATCTCTGTTCCAAATACCCGCTTCTTCGGTTCATCAGAATTGAATAAGCTTGATCCTTTTTCAGCTATGCTTTTGGACCCCAACCACCTATATGCTGGTTTCCTAGTCACTGGTATATGAGTCTGTAGAGAAAGCATAAAACAAAACTAAAAGATGAAGCATTTGAAATTTCTAAGTTCAGGGTTAATGTATTGGACTAGGAACAAAGCGCTTACCTTCTCGATTAAATTCATCGAGGCAAACACATTTGCAATGTCGTAAAGTCGTCTAACTTTAGCTGTTAATCAATTTCAGAAATTGGGTTGGTTAATGGTACTATATAACAGAGATCAGAAAAGATCTAAAACAGGAAATAGAGATTTACTTCTCATATGGACTGAATCTTGAGAGTCGCTCAGCAAGGCTTTTGCAGCACTATCAAGTGTGATGAGATCATCCTGAAGATAAGGCAGCAGACAGGGTGTGAGTTGTTTTATTAGAGGGATTTGAAAAGTTTGTGTAAGAAGCCAAAGAGAGATAGATAACAAGTCAAATTATTCACTTACATCAGAACAAAGAAACATCTTCACAAAGTTCTGTGAGAGAAGCCAGAGAGATTTTTCCTTCTTTTGGTCTGAAAATGATATTAGTTTGATTTCAAGTTAGCTCCTAAAACAAATGTTATCCTGTAAAATTTTACGCATCAAGTAGCACTTTGGTAATGCAAAATTACTAGAAAAAACATGTTTATTCAGAATCAAGTTCTGGAATGAGTGATTAACAAAGAACTAAAAAGAGAAGATTACCCATTTTAGAGGATGATGAGTTTTCCTGATCATCAGGTGTTAAACTTAAAGGTTCTTCTCTTTCACCATCATTTGAAACCTATTACATTAACGACCAGATGACATCTTCAAAGTTAAGTTCGAAACCACTTAAACAAAAATCAGCAATAAAGAATCTGAATATATACCTTGTCTGATTTGTTGGTACTTGAGTCACCTAACCTCTCTCTCATTCCTTGTTCCTGTAAACAAAACAAAGACAAGTTTGAAAACCATTCTCCTGCATCATCAAAACAAACCCAGAGATTGATTGAACATTCAATTCTCAAGTACCTTGAGTTCATTAAGAGACCGAGGAATTTCTCCAAAACCTTTCCACGAGTATTGATTCTTCCCTCGTCTTGCCACAATCTGAATATACACCACAAAACCTAAAATCAGCTCAAGCTAAACCCAGAAAAAATAAAAAATAGAACAGTGATTTAATCATACATACCCCAATACTCTCCAATATATTGACCACATCATAGATACGCCGCCGTTCAACTCCTGCAACAAAATTTGAGCGTAACCAAAACAGTCACCAGATTATTATTAATTCCCAATTGTTCTTAGTCTATGAATCGAACGAATTCGCTTAGATTTGACCTATCCATCGATTTCAATCTCACAAAATCAGGAGGAAGAAGAATTTACCTAATTGCCCAGCGGCATCGTCGAGCCCAATCAGATCCACATCGTCTCGGTTATACAGTCTCAAGAAACTGAATCGTACATAAGACATAAATTACAAAGTAAAATCCGGTGTGAATCTCGAGAAACCATAAAGTTCGATAGAGAGAGAGAGGGAGAGAGGAGAGGTGTACTTGGAGACGAGAACCCCAAGAGATTTCTCCTTGCGGCTATAAATTTGCAGACCGAGCGATTCCGCATCTTGAGAAACAACAATCGCAGAAGACATTTTCTCGAGAAAATCAGAGAAAGAGGATGATAAATTTCTGAGATTGGGATATTTATTTTCACAGCTTTCGTGTGACTTCTATTCGGAGGAAAAAAAAAAAAAAACCTTTTTGGCAAAAGCGGGGGGATTTTCGAATTATGAAATAGGCGCTTTACTTGTTATCGATAATGACGCAAATACCCTTGATCCACACACTCGAAACGGAGGAGATTCGAGAGGTTAATATTGTAAATCTACGCAGAGCATCAAGCGCCAGCGGCAAAATTTCCTAAATCAAAATTTTAATGAATCAGATTTAGTTGGTTCAAAAATCCACATTAATTTGTATAAATTTATTATATCAAAAAGTAGTAAAAAAAAGAACAAATACTAACATGTAAATTGATTAAACTTGTCAATCTATATATACATTTTTGGAACACTTTTAGCAAATAAATCCTGGGATTGGTCAGTATTTACAAAGAATGTCATTGACATTTATTATTACTTTTACAAATTTAAATAAAAGATATTAACCAAACAATATCTTGTCTAATTTGTTTCTAAAAATCTCTACACAATCTTTCCATATATCTTCAAAAAGTTTTTATAACAAATATTTATATTAACATTTTGCATAGCAATAAAAACACTAATTTATAATAATCAAAATATTCACATAGAAAAATCATATACACATACAGAAAAAAGAACTATATCTATTATCATTTAAGCCGTTGCTTTATTTAAATTAAAAAAACATAAAAACTTGAAATCATATACTTTATATGATAAATTTGAAATATATATTAGTAGTATAAATTTAAAATCGTTCAAAGAACGGTATATCACGGGTGAGATCCTAAAATTATTAGATTTTATAACAATAATAATTTATTTTCTTGGATTTTATAACACTAATAATTTAGCTAACGAGATAATATAGACGGGTTTATATGGAATGACGGGTTTTGGTCGATATTAATAAATAACGGTATATCACGGATGAAATCCTAAAATTAACAATCAAAATACAATTATACAATCTTAAACACAAAACAAAAGAAACAATATTAACAAAACAAATCCAACTTAGATTTAAAAATTTTAGTTATAGAAAAACAGACACACGGTATACTGCAGAGTAAAATATTCAAAATTTTAAAATCCACCATACATCGTTACTTAAAAAAAATGTATGTTTTCGTATCTATACTTCAAAAATTGATAGATAGATATCTACATTTAAAAATACAAATTAATATGATATATCTTTAGTTAATCTTTTAAAAAATAACATTACATTTTTTAAAAAAATATAGCCCCGCGGTATACCGCGGATTAAATTCTAATATATACTAATTTTGGTTATAAACTACACTAAATTTACCAAATGTCCGAATCTCTTAAAAGAGTAAAAAGTGAAAAAAAAAAAAAAAAAAAAAACCATTCCACTAAATAAAAAATCATTATCAGAATTAAAAGTTTCACGAAAATACATTTCCTTTGCAATATTTGTTGTTCTGACCGATTAAAATACATAAAATATATTTTCCTGAGAAACGTATAGAGAGAAACAGGTCCCTAGAAAATGTATACAGAACACACCACATTTGATATTACCACAAAGCAAAAGATAACCAAACAAACAAACAACAATCTATGGCTCAACAACAGTCACTTGTTCCCACTCTCCATCAACAGCCTCTTTCCACACCGTAACGTTATTGTTCCCATCGGAAACAGCCAACAAATTACCCGTCAACGACCACCAGACCCGCCACACCGGTGTTTTGAAATCTTTCAAAACCGTACCTTCCCATTGTTCACCTTCTTTCCCTATGGTCCATATGATCACTTTCCCATCTTCTGAACCACTGGCTATGGTTGACTTTGGGAGACCCAAGTTCGGTGCCCAAGCCACATCACGGACCCAATCCGTGTGCTTGTTAAGAGCCGGAAAACAATCCATTTTCCATGACCCGCTGGAGAACTTCCACACTTTCACGGTGCTATCACACCCGCCGGATGCTAGTTTGTAAACCGGATCGAGCATGCCAGAGCTAACGAGTGCGCCTGGTTCTGTGGCCGGTGCCCATGAGACTGAAGTGACTCCAACCGGGTGTGCTTGGTCTATCTTTGATGTGTCCCAACCGCCATCAGCTCTAGCTGAGAAAACGGATATGTTTCCATCAGATGCTCCGCAAGCTAAGGAGAATCCGAGTTCATGA